CATATTTCAATTCTTTTGATGTGGTTCTTCTTAGAGACAAGTACACAATAATTATTGAAGGAGGCACACTTAATTTTTTTCATTCCAACAACAACCACAAACACTGACACAATTCAGTCAGACTCCACATCTACAGTTTAGTTTAAGGTGAAAATATGCATCTACTTTTAACATTCATTCATTACTTTTACTCTCTCACAAAAAACTACCCTAGTTTGCATAAACAATAAATACTTGCATAAAGAACCTAGTGGTTAAAGAACCTGCTGACGTTGATTTGCCATTTTAGTGCCCCAAAATATACGAAAGAGTATAGCCAAGCAAGATAAAGCAGGTTCTCATATGTGGGTTACAGTAGTGTGCAGTGCAACTCTTTAGACACTGAGAAGTCTTTCTATACAAATGTTTATTCATTCCATTCACTTTTCCATTTTAGTTTTTAATATTTTATTTCCTTTTTCTATTCTAAAACGTATGTTTAAGATGATATCACTTTCTTTAATCAGTTTTGTTGGGCCTTTCAAAATACAGTTGTGAGTAAATGCTGTATCTTTTTTAACACAAAAACCCAAAACTTTTTCGGGGGACTGGCAATCAACAACTGAATCTTTACTAGTCTAACCTGCAAATGACTACCCAAAAATACAAGAACCTACTTTGCCTGACTTAAAAAAATGTAGGTACGTACCGGAGGGTTTTTACTACTAACAAAGAGAATATATCATTGCAAAACCAATGATAATGCAATTTCTGCAAATGTGAATGTGTCGAAGACATGTACATCATTTAGTTTCATTCTTTCTATCTTTTTAAGACTGGTCGAGGTTTCAAACATGATGTTAACAATAGATTTACAGTGTAATTGAATCAAATAATTGAAACCTGACCATAATAAACTAAAGCCACTCACCAGAAAATAAATGGCATATGGTAAGCAGGTAGTTCCTGTTCCAGCTAGCAAAAGCATTGTGCTCTGGCTAAAGCAGGCGTCTTGCTTTGTGTCCTTACTCCACAAATCAATTACCTCTGTTCTTTTTTCATCGTCACCAACTTGAGCCACCACCAAAAAACCATGGAGAGAAAGACCCCATTTACCATACCAGTCACGCTGGATTTCACGACTACGGATGCCAAGTTTGAGTTTCATTTTATAGTCAACAATGACTACACACTCACTAGGCTGATGATTGTTTAAAATGAATTTGTAATACTCCGACTGGTTGTGCATAACAATTCGCTTACACATCCTGCTTATGAACTGTTAGAAGATTGTCTCGTTCCTCTGTCAGTTTCCTTCGTTCGGCTGTGTCTAAATTGGACAGCAAGTCTTTCACAGAGCTGGCCACTTCATAAATTCCAACACCATCTGAGGAACTGTCATGAACTTTCATACAGGAGCCAAATGCATGGTCCATGCAGAGTTCTAAGCAAGCTGAGTGTCTCTCCAGTTGGTTTGAAAACTTTGTCTTCATAAAAGACCGATGCTTCAAGACTTTTGTTTTCATTTCAGCTATGGGGATTGCAGAAGACCTCTGAATACCTTAAAGAAAGGAAGTAAAGTTGTCGTAGTTGCTATGACCAAACTCATCGCGTCAATTACACAGGCCAGCAAGCATTGTGTCGTAGTGGAAATTGGGAGGCACGTGCGTATAATTATAGGTTCGTTTTACTCCATATGGAAATTCAAGTAAATATTGATTTACAAGTTCCGTAACACTGTCTTAATACAGTAATGGATTGGAGTTTCTTGCCCATTCACAATAATGCCCATACACGAGGATGGCCTTGATTCATTGTCTCTCTCGAAAATTCGGAAAGTTCCCTCAGCACCTCAGGACTGACACACTGGTGAGAGAATTTAAACTTAGAAGGTGGTGTTCCAGCACGCCCAAATAAAATACAATGAACTTTGGCTGCTGTCACTGTGTTTGGAGAGCAACCAAACAGTTCCTGCAGCTATCTGTAAGGGTAGTCCATTGCCACAATTGACAACAATGGACGCCATTCATCTGCATAAGAGGTGAGACAACCAATTGATTTCGCAGCATCAGTTCAATGTCTGAACTGGTCTGAAGTAAACTCTCCTGTTAGGCTTATTCGGGAATTCTTCACTGAATTTCCTATGACGGTCTTTGCTTTCAGACCAGCAGCTCGCTTTCTTGTTTCTGCTGCTTTTTCCTTGTTCCCTGACTCGTCATAGGCTTTAATCAAAGCCTGTATTGTTGGGTTTGATGTGGCATCAGAAAGCTTAGGAGAAAGCCCAAAGGTGGTACTCCACGTCTTGCTTTTGACTGTCTCGTTAATGAAATCAGGCACATCCTTTTTTCAATACAAACTTCAAGGCTGCATTGTTCATAGTGTGAAAAACTTCAGACCTGCATTCACGTTTTCCTCTCACAGAGCTCTTTGTAAGGGACAGATAAAGCCAAACGAAGTGTTCCCTTTTTGCACATACCTGTAGGCTGTTATGTCTTTACATGTATGTTGTCAAAATTGGGAGCAGCTAAGGTCTGTGACATCCTCAGTGTCTATGGAAGTGGCCTCTAGGATACACGCACGTTTCTCAGAGTTCTCTCCAACAAAGGCACTAGCACCATTCGAGAGGGGTTGACTACATTCTAAATCTACCACTGGAAAGTCATCAACATTGGCCACTGTCTCATTGTCACATGGTGTCATGAAAGGTTCCTCTGGGAAAGAATAAAAGTCGCTAAGAAAAGGATTTTGATCAATCAGAACCTCGGATTTTCGTGTCAAGCTATTATTTAGCGCTATCCACCTTACACACAGCGCTACTTAAATTCATCTTTTACTCCCCTCTTATCAGAAAATCCAAACCGAGCAAACTCTTCTTCAGTTTGGAATAAAAAAGAACCAGGTCTTGAAGAGAAATGAGAAACCTGTTGATTTCACATGGCAAAAAGTTGACCCATCCTTTGATCTTGAAGTTAACAGACTCTGGAATGTTCTGGCAATACGGATCTTTGCCAAGGTCGAACTGTTGCATCCCATAACTGGCTGGTTTGTTCCTCAGCTTCTTGACGTATAATGAGAATTGTGACGTACTGTGATGTTCCATGGCTTCAAGATCATCTCATTTCTTCATCAGGCAATTGGCTTGCTCTTGAAATTGATACGATTTTTCGAAGGGCAGACCCTTTGGCTTTGCAAAGATGTCTCTCAAGATTTTGGGGTTTACTGCAGCATTCTTCTTAATATATAACACAACAGACTGTGGGCGTTCTGGAAAGCAGCTTCTAGAGCATTGATAAGGGAAGCTTCATTGGTTCCATAGGCTTGTAAATACTGGCCTGGCACCTCACGAAGTAGAGAATGCACAAAGGAAAGATAGATGTGCTCTTCATTTGTCATACGGATCGTGACAGGCCCAAGAAAGCTAGGGCTGTCATCACTTTCCCTTACTTTCACAAAAATATTCTAATAGAAAGTGAAAAAAGGACCCAGCTGGAATGCAATGTTTGCGCCTAATTAATTCTTACACCATTCCTGTATGTTGATGACAGCAATGTTTGATGATTTCATTGATTTGCTTTTCATTTAACATTACAATAGTTGGCAAATAATTGAAGGCTGCATCATCGCAGATTACAAAAATTAATACTTTGGACTGATATTTATTTGAATCGTGTTTCTGTAGAGGTTCATCAGATCTGAGTCCCTTTAAAGGATAATTGGAGATCGAGCAGTGGAGACTAGTGAAGGCCAGGGATGTCTTCCACTGTTATTATTGCAGGGTTGTCACTATCTGCATCAGTTGAGAGGTAATTCTTGATTGCAGACGAAAGCCCATGCGACCCTGAAGCTCCATGGAGAATGGAGTGGCTTATTATCTTCCCCATTGCTTTGTATGCCCCTGTAAGTCTTGGTGAATGATCATGTGTGGAAATGCGATGATCGCTCTGCCCCTGTGAAAACAGAAGAGTCTTTCCTAGATGAGATAAGATACGATAACTTTATTATGTCACTTCAGGATATCTGTACATGACCCGAAATGATCCCCGGCCCCAAATGATCCCCAAATAGTTTCACATGCGACCTGAAATGATTCCTGAGGAATTATCAGAATGGAATGGGATGAAGTTTAATTCCCGAAGATGCTAGAATTACTAGGATAAAGTAAATTAAAAAATTTTGACTCAAATTGCTTGAAGTATTGATGTATTTATAAATTCTGGACAATTCACTAAATAATTATAACTCCTTTTTAACGAATTTTGTAAGAATCTTTAGAGTTTAAATTGGAGGTTTATATCGTGCAAATAGCATCTCGATAGGCCCGGTTTAAGGTGATTCCCTAGTTTTGCACTGCGCATCTCTTACTGCGCATAACAAGATGGCCGCCGTAAAAAAGAGCATGTGAAGTAACGTTATTAAAATGAAGTTGACTGAAGAGAAACACTACTGGAATTTTTGGTTGCGGTTGTTTCTTGCCAAGGTGGGACTCAGTGTGTTGGGAATGTGCATAACGTAAGCAGTACGCGTGTTGCAGAGTTTGACTTCCTCACGGAGAACCTCGATACACATGTAGTGGATGTTTAACTTGTGCTTACTCTCTTGACTTCGATTTTCATTTAAACGCTTTCTTTATCACATTGTGTCCTAAATGTAATATCTCGATGTAAATTTTGTAAAAACGGATTTTTTAATTCTTTCTTCCTCCTTTCACATACATTCTATTTTGAAACTCGCCCCAGTCCCCTCTCAAAAATCGGAGAAAAATGCATTTGGTGCGCACTTTCTACAGCTCTACGCAAAAACGAGTACGGTGACCCCCATTTTTTATTTCATGATTTTAATAAGGACAGTGCTTACTTTCGATGAGAAAAAAATTGGCACAAATCTATGTTCAGTTTTTTTGGCAATTTTACTAAATTGTACGGATTGAGCTATCACGGGTCGAACAGCGCGTGTCCAATTCAATTCTACTTTGGAGTGTAAAGTAAAAACAGGAGCATTAAATGGCATTTTTCTGGTATGTAAGTGGATAAACAATACAGTAAAGTCAAATTCTGTGCGATACCACATGCATCACCGAAAAAATCTCTCCTTTTTGTCTAGTTTTGGGCTGCGCGCGTTTTTTGTCAAAGGGTCCAAAATAGCCGTATTTGTCAGCATTGTGACGTCAAATCGAGCACGGTGACACCCACTTTTTATTGCTTTTTTATCATCTTCTTGACTTGTTACATCAGTGTACCAAGTTTCATCTACAATCTATGTTAGGTTCGTTTACTATGGAATCACCTTAAACTTGCAATTTTACATGTGCCGAGTCTGATACCTATTTGGTTCTACTTAAATAAGTAAATCCGCCATTTAAGATGTCGAATCATGAGCGAGTTTTTATAGAGTTGGGAAAAAATTGAGAATTGTGGGTTATAATAAATTAAACACGATTTACAAATTCAATTCGGCATAAAAGACAACAGTTGAACTTCTGTCGAGATTTGACTGGCTCAGTCGAAGATGCGACAGAAGTTGAGTTGTCGAATTTAATTTTAGTTAAACGTTGAACTTCCTACGCATTCGATACCTGAAGTAAATTTGGCACATGTGAAATGCGATGTTTAAACCGGGCCTTACTGTAACAAGTAACTAGTCTTTGCTTCCTGTTGGTACCCATTAACGTACGTAGTATTCACATAACCGTTTATTTCTGTCAATTATGGGATTTCTGAACTGTAACAATATGTAATATGAAACTCTCTGCCTCTGTAAGAGAAAAAAGTGAACATAAACAACCGTGAAATTAATGACAAACAGGAACAACTGAATACAACAGCTAGGCGATAGAAAACCTTAACCTGGCGGTTAACATGCAGGAACTTTATAACCTGAACTGTACAAATAATTCAGTAGAAAGAACAAAACTGTAATAACAATAACAATAAAAATATTGGTACTGGTTAGAGCTAAGTGTGTAGCTTTCAATATGTCATTGACTATAAATGTAGATGTATGTTGTATGCAGTAAATGCTTTTGCCAGTTGCCTTATATTATGAAAATTTACTTATTGTGTATTAGTGGTCGCGAATGTGAGGAAGTCGGAAAAAAAGCACAAAAAATAAAAGTATTGTTTAGTCTATTTTTTATGCCTTTGACATCCCTGCTATTTCTACATGGAAGCTACACTCGACTACCAGTAACTACTTTCAGCACGTATACCACCCTTCATCTTTAGTGCATTCATCACACATATCACAGTCCTCATCTTAGCACCGCATGAGGCCGCTTTCACTCACATAAACTCCTGCTGATAGGTGCTGAAATGTGTTACTGCATTTAGGACAAGTTTCTTCCATTACTTTTCCTTCCCCATACTTCGCTTTCATGTACTCGACAGTATCCTCTTCCTTATTAAACGATGGATTATCTACATACTCTAAGCTGTGATGATAGGCCTCTGCTTTGTGCCCAAGAAGCACCATTCTCTTAAGATTGTGCCCGTCTTTGTTGGATGCATCAGCTGGACTAATAATTCTTAGCCCATTCTCTCCCAAGCTAGAAACAAGAGCAATGTCGATATTGAGCATGTTTACAAGACCCCATAAGGTTATCCAGTCCCCCCATACACCGTCATGGGACATTCTTTGCAAGTAGCTATCCCAGGCACTATACGATATAGTTTTCAAAGTGAACTCCATCTGGGATTAAAGGATGATTTCGGAGGTATTTGATAATGCCAGAGCACAATTCCTGTGGGCTTTTTAATGTATCCTGGGTCGCACAAGTTGACCACTCAGTGCATGAAACATACAGTTTCCATCTTTTGGTGTAGGAGGGTCACGGTAATTCAGGCCGGCATTTTCCTTTTCTGCGCCCTCTGACTCACTGCGAACTGTATCATCCATTAACCAATTGAAATCTTTCGGACGTTAACTGCTGCGGCTATTAGAGCATGCTAGCTGATCCAACAAATCACCGACCATTACATTTCAGAAATCAGTTGTATGTTTTACGCAGGAATTGCAGTTTTCGGAAATAAATTGTTTGGTGAAGCTACAAGTAAACACGCCACAGTCCACGCTGTTTGACTGCTTCAGACAGGAAGCAATGTTTACCTTCCAATTGTCTTCATGTAGTAGCGTGCTCTGTTCTTGTGGCAAATTTTGCCTCTCTTGATAAATTTCTGTTTCAAAACTGTGTGGTGAATGTCAGCAGAAAAGTAGGTGGATTTGTAAATATAAATGCAGACATCAATAATACTTATCATGACAGGCAGCCAGTGTTTTTCGGTCGGAAGGTGTACTGGTGCAATAAGATTCTCGTAGCTCTGCAATGGATTTTTTCCACCGTATTTCTGGTACGATGAGTTGTCTCCAGGCCTTTCACGTGAGGTGTAGAAGTAAGAACTTGCTAAGGAAACCATTTCTTTCTTTGACGCCCATTTTTTGCCTCAAGAAGTCAAAATACAGGTTTATGGTATCCCCGTTTAGTTTTTCCAATGACGAAATGCGGGAAATAGCCTCATCAAGTACGCCAATATTATCGTTTAGTTTTTGTGTTTTGGATTGCGTTTTGGTGTCACTGTCCAGGGCTGATTTTCGTGTGTTAGTCAACTCTAGCATTTTTTTGCCTTTTTGTTTTGTCTTCTTTTGTAAGCAAGTCAAATCGTCCACTTTAACCCAGGCCTTCTCCTCATTTGTCGTCTCTGGATTCTTGAACTCAACGTAGTATTTATGGAGATCATGATCCGCCTTTAAAATGAGTCCTTCGCAAGTGCCCTTTAAAGTCATCCTTTTGCCCTTGACAGACATTCTTGTAATTTACTTTTCTTTACCGGTGAGAATTCCTGAAGATTAGGTTCGTCTTCCTTGGGGACTTCTAAGTGTTTCCTTTCTGCAAGTGTAAGTCTAAACTTAACTCTGTTGGGCTCCCGGCCATAATATATTTCAAAGGGTGTTTCCATCCCTAAGGAGCTATGAGGGGACTCATCGTATAATTGCTGATAGACTGCCAGGCTTTCTACCCAATTTAATTCCTAATCGCAGTTAAGCAAGTCAAACTTTATCTTTTCTTTCCATGTTCGGTGTAAGCGTTCATCTGTTTCTTCTGTTTGAGGGCTGTGTGCTGACGTTTTGATGATTGGTACTTTTAGAGTTTCACAAAGAGTCTTCTCAACGCCTTTAAATTCAGTGCCTTGGTCACTTTGAAGGTGGTCCATGTTCATTATAGATAGTTAAAAAGATTTTCTGCCACCTCAGCAGATTCTTTAGATTTAAGAGGTCGCAGGAAAACAAACCTGCTGAAGATGCCTATTACAGACATTACATATTTGTAGGTAACTTCATCGACTGTAACTGGCATGCTCATCTTATTAACAAGGTCTACTTGGTGGCGTACTAGCACTTTGGTTGCTTTTATAGGCCGAAGAGGAGCCTTGTTTTGAAAGAGTGGGCGTATTTTCTTAGGTTCTTTCATGGCATTTGAGTTTTTCTGCATTTGTTTACAGGATACACCGCTGCATATATGCCCTGGTTTACCAGCTTATGTGCTCCATCACCTTTACTTTCATCATCGAAACCTTTAACGATGGACGACAGATCTGATTTTCTCATGACAATACAATTTGTTACGGTGTGCACAATGGGCAAAACTTTACTTCCCACCATGGGATTGTGAACATCACACAACTGATATTGACCACTTTTCCATTTCTTGTACACTCTCTGCCTTAAACCACTGTTGTTTTTTGGGCCATTCCTTAAATGTTCTCTCATCATTAAGTACACCATACAGAGCCTCGTACTCAGCATCATGCATAGCCGAATTTCTTCGTCTAACCTGAGGAAACAATTTATAGAATAAATATTTCTAATTAGGAGACGTCTGGACGCAGCTAATTATTCGCATCTTTTGTAGCCCCTTGTAACACAATAAACTGGAAATATCACATATGTTGTTTAAAAGCACTTAAGATTTAATCACTTGTCCAACGAAGAATTCTTTCTTACAAGCCTCACCAACTCATAAAGAAAACACTTAGTGAAACAGAGTGTAGACTCCCACAGAAGGATTCTTACAACGATGTTCCGTCACGCGTGACCAGTAAATTCCAACTATATAGGCAACGTTTCAAGTTTTGTTTACCATATTTGGGCATTGTGGTGTGATCTGGGAAATTCGAAACGAAATTTTAAAATCCGAAGAAAGATTCGAGGATTTAACAGACTTTCACAATGTTCAGACCCATTGATTATAACGCTTTAGGACGAGAGTTCAGGCCAGGTAAACCTCTCCATACGGAAATCAGAAGATGGAGAGTTGATTTGTATTTGACCTGAGAGGGACTGAGGGTAATCTCATGAGCAGTTTGTGTTTCTGTGTCGCATCATTCGTCATCATCAAACGTACGGCACATATTCTCCATTTAGTCAAGGAGGATGAAGAAATCCTTCTTAACTTTCAGAAAACGTTTTAGAATCCATAGAATTGTTCAAATTGATGAAACCTAGCATGTTTGGAAGGGAAAGACGCGAGAGGTTGTTGAATGATGGCGTGTGCAGCGAGGGAAACGTACTGGCTTTATCGACTGTAAACAAGGGAATAAAGAACAAGCTCCGCATGTCATACAAAAAACTTAGCGTCACATCCAGAGAGAGCCAAAGTGATGTTAATCTCGAGAACTGCAGTGAGTATCTCGAACTTACCTCAAGAATTGTTCCATGCAAACTTCAACTCTTCGATGAATCATCAATGGTAAAAACTACCGTAAATCGTCAATATGGTAACAGTTTTGTTGGGCAACGTGCAATAGAAGTGTAGCACTATGCATCTAACGTGAACTATACGGTAAACCTTTTGCAAGTGTTCGTGGAATCGATTATCATAACATACTGATAGGCCCATCCAATGGCGACGAGCTGGTGAGTTTCTTTGAATATGTCTTGGAAACTGAAGACGCATTAGGTTCGCCAATCCTCATGCCTGATGACGTAGTAGTAATGGACAACTGTGGCTTTCACCATGGAAGAGTGACTGAGAGTGTCGTAAGAGATGTTTTGGAAGATGCTGGGGCGCAACTTATCTTTCAGCCTCCGTATTCAACCCATTTAAACCTATGCGACTTTTCTTTTATGGGCAAATGAAAAAGCACTTGCGATGTGATGCAGAATTTTCTGAATCATTTACTGAAGTTGCCATTATGCAGGCATTAGGTAGCGCTGCCTGTAAGGATCGAGCAAAGTTGGAAATCAGGCCAAAAATCACAACTTTTGAAATTATTTTTGTCAGAATAAAGCCTTTGACATGCCTGATTGAATGACAATACGTTTTCTTCGAAACTCAAAATTGTTATTTTGGGACGTGTTCACTTTGAGCGGACATTAATGGCTGTGAAAACCAAAAAAAGGCACAATTTGAAAAATCGGTTAAAAATTTCCAAAACCTATGTAGCCTCTGAAACTTAATCCAGAACTTAACACGAATCTAAAGATATCAAAAATATATATTCCATTGGGACCAGTTATGTTTTTGCCTAGGAAATGTATGTTCAAAGATGGCTCCTTTTTCCTTACACTTGTTCAATCAGGGACTATGCCATAGTTCCCTGGAAATATCTCTAGAAGTAGATGGACTGCAAAAAATCTGTTTATACTGTTTGAAAGTACTTATATTAGTGCAGTTTTTGTTATAAAAATTTCCGCGGGCAGTCATATTGTGTTAACAGGAGAACGACTCAATAATGCTGAAAATTCGAGTTTTCACGAAATGCTATTTTGGGTGACATGGACAGGAGGACTGGTTACGACTTTTATAATATCCAGCTGCGGCAATAAAGACACTATAAAATAACAGAACCTGCTAAGTTTAATTTTTTCCGGGGGTATGTCTGATTTATGACTAGTTTTGGTCATTTTAAACGCAACGAGCCATGCAAGCATGATGTTGCATTACTGATGAAAGAGTCTTTTTTCAAACTTTTCAGGAACTTTCTCACAGTACTCTCTCTTTGCTTACAAATGCCCTTTCATTTAATTTGTAGGTAAATACCCCACAATTTTTTTTCAAATTACATACCATCAGATAATATACAGTTTTTGTTTTGGAGAGGGGTTAGAAATAAGTGGTGACTTAAATTAAATGCGGCAAAAAAATCTTAATAGCATAGGACCTTTTTGTCCTATGTTGTAACCTAGCACCAACCCCCCCCACACCCTCAGTCCATAAGGCGAGGGAGTCACATTTGATAAATAAGGCCATGACTCTTGGACCTAATGGCCTAAAGTGCCGTGATGAATTATTCTAACCTATATCCTTATTACTTTTTCTTTTCCTTTTTATTATTGTACGTAATTTCCGCTGCCCCCCCCTTTTAAACAATTTTTTGCGACATCCTCCATCTACATAATATTGTAATTTCCAACATAAATTCAGTAACATCTGTAAACCTGAAGAAGGCTGGTATGGCTCACCCAAATGTTATAAAAACAGTACACGTTGTTAATCAACTTTGCGGTAGTCTTTGGACTTCTCTTTTTTTTGTTTTCAGTAATATTTTAGCTGATTAGATCTCTTTTCTAGAGATCCAACATTAACAACGTTAACAACTGACTAACTATGGAACGCATCTGAGTGATCTTGAGGCTTTCAGTCTCTGACTCTGTCATCAAGCACAGGTTTTTGTCAGAGAAAGCAAGGGATGAGTGATTTCCTGCCGTAACACTTCCATCACATCCAAATGTACAGCCGCCTGCTCCCTCGCAAATTCTTCAGCCTCATCATTGGAGTAGGTGGCATCTCTTCTCTTACATGCCATCGTAGAGAAGAATGAGGTGATTGGTTGTGGACGTAGGAACTCCTTTACCATGAAGATTCGCTGCCCGCTCTGATCTCTCAAACATCTCATCTCCTTCGAGACGTCGTCTGGGTTTGCTATAATCCCCGTGCTCTCCCAGTGTTTAAACTTTTCCTCTAAGTACCTCTTTTCCTTGGAATTAAACCAATAGCATGTTTCCCGAATGGACTCCAGACAAGCCCATCCCTCTGGCAGACAAGGGGAACCAATGTGTATTTCTGTATCCGGTATCGTCACTTCAGGATGGCTCCCTCCAGCCTCAAGACACTCTTTGTAACTGACCATCGCTTGGTCCATAAGTGAGACACTCTCGGCCTGACGGAATTGGTGTTTACCGTACATGAGGTGCTGCTCCAGCCATCCGTATGTCATGTAGGACGTGGTGCATCCGTCATCTGGGCATGGAAACAGGAGACTATCAGCTAGGTTGGCATTTGCTTGTTGGGTCATTTCAATGGTAGAGCCCTCCTTGAATAGGCCATCTGTATGGGATGTCGCCAGCTTTGGCTGTCTGGGTTTCACTGACACACTCTCCTTTCCCTGGCCTTTCAGTTATCCATTCAAACTGTTATCGTGTTGTATTCCTGACAGTTATAGCTTTATTGTTAAGTATTACCATGTATCCCCTTTGAGACCAAATGGGTAAAGTGTGTGTGCTATGAAGCCAGTATAATATAGCGGACTGAGATCCATTTTACCATGAATGCGAGTAATTTTGCTTTACCACCTCTTGGTTGAACATACCTGAAAATGACATCCAGGATCGGAAATTCCCTCCACCAATACCATACGCCTTGGTTAATGTATTGTGTCTTGCTTCACTTGCGTTTTGATTTGCACTGCTTTCCTATCGCATGGACCTTTACCACCTTGTGGATCACTGAAATCAATCTGGTAGAGATCCATGTTGGTTCTCTCACGCAATATTTTGCTGGCTAGAATGGTATTTGTGCAGTGATGGCACCCTGCGTTCTCTGGGCGGAAGACAACTCTGGTTAACTCGGAGTGTTCCTGCTTCAAGGTCATCAGTACATGCTCCATCACAGTTACTACAATGTGGTTGTCCTGTAGACCCGATTCAACTATGTGCACAGACGTCTGCGCGACCAGCTCCCCTCGTTGTTTGCTCTGACAAACTGTCAAGTGCCAAGAGATACCTCTCTTACCAAAGAAATCAGCCTGCATTTCCCTTTACTGGGTGGGTAAGAACTTCATGGCGAAATCCTGTGTGATCAGCACCGAGTCCCTCTGAAGACTATCGATGATATCTGTCCTGGCTGTATCCCGGTGAACCATGCGCAGCTGGTGAGCCTTCCAGGAACAGACTCCGTCACTTGCAGTTCTTGCATTAAATCATCCTTCATCCTGAAGGTCTTGCGGGAGGTTGGTTGACTGGATAAAGGACAAAACTGAGTCTAAAGACTAAAAGAGATATAAGACATAATTAGATAGGATTATTTTGCCCTAGGCCGGGTTTACTTAATACTGGCTATGTACAGTCTTCAAGGTCTCGCAGCTCTTACAACATTGATTATGTTGATGATTACAGTGGTGGCAATAGCTCTCCTTTTCAGCATCACTGAGTGCAAATACTCTGCAGTGGTCAGGAATAGTACTAGCCACTGAGCAGTGGATCTGTGAGCAAGACAATCATGCGGTTACACCTTCACACAATGAAAATGCATGTGCAGACTCCATATAGGCACTAATCATTTACCTTGTAATCGGTTTTGGTGTACTGTTTTAGGTATCTAAAGTCGTCCTTGAGTTCTGCAATTACAGACTCAATGGCCCCATACTTCACCAGCATGTCAAGGAGCAATAATAGATCATCAAATCCATGCCCACCTTCTGCTGCGTAGCTGTCTAGTCCCTGTAAACTCTTACGAACTGACGCTGCGCATACTTAGTCTAAATGGTATTTACTTTAGAATTTTTATTATTTATCACACGAATCAGGGCTTGACTTACAAATACAAACACTTTTAACTCTACTGTTCATAAGAACATTTTTGTTAAGCCATTTTTACGAAACAATGGGTTTTCATGCTTGTTCATAACGTAGCCAGTTATGGATAACCACTTCACATCGTTGTCGCCAGTTGATGCAGCACACCACAACGTGGCTAATGACGCTTTCTTGCACTTTTGGATCACAGAACAGTCTTTCTTTTTCACAATAGCTTCACTCTTTTTCCTGTACCTGCAAAGAATGTTAGACACCGTCAATGAACGATTATTTTATCAAAACTTGTTTTAACCTGGCCTGAAAGCAATAGGAAAGATCATCATGTCGGGTCAGGAAGCGCAACTGTAAGGCAACTTTGCACCCATACGCAAATTAACAAAATTCAGTGGGTTTTTTTGTTGTTTACAAAATGGTGGCAAAATAGTAGTGAGATTGTCAAAGCTGTTTTGGCACTTTGCCCTCTTCGTGGTACAGTTTGAAGAAGTAAAAGAAAGCCTTAGTTTGGTTTACGAGAATTGCCCTTCTGGGCAGCATGTTTTTGAAAGTTTGCCGTTCATGAATATATTGTGAAGAGTGTGGTGAACTCATTTGTGAACACAGAAACAGAGACAAACACGACAGTTCAACAAGCAGTCATGTGTAACTCATCCGTGGAACTACTTTACAAAATCCCCTCGTGAACTAGGGAGGGGAAAATTCCCCAACTGTGCAAAAACCTCCTCTAAGTGTTCCGGTTGCTACCGTTTTCCCACACACAATGACATCATCTAAATAAATCTAGCAACCTAAGCCCTGACAAGATCAGTTCCATTAAGTGATGATCCAGGTAAGGTGGATAGCAATTTCTTTTGTTATGCGGCAACGGTGCCTTCCCCACATAGAAATGTTCTCATTTTTACACAGAGAATGCATAAACCTACATGAAGGTCATTCACGCAATAAAATGCATTTACACTCCACTTTGAAAGGGTGTTTTTTTGTGTTAAAAGATTTTGACCAATCACAAGAGTTGAAAACAATAGCCAAGAAAAGTTTACAATTTTACATGTTCCCCACATAGGATTTCTTTGTTATTCAAACTGAGACTAGATTTTGTTATTTGGAAGATGGTTGGAAAGTAAGGATAAATATATGTACCGCTTTATGAAGTTTTGTTAACTTTTGCTGTTTTCAGACAACAGAAAAGTTAGCAGCTTTTTGCATTCCAACATGTTCGTTGCCGTTGTTGCTATCGTTCTTATCTGGACCGTTTCTTAATCACACAAAAGTTCTAGGTGGTGACTAAGCCCGAAGGGCATGATGGTCGGGCACGATGGCCCTGTCATGCAATCCTGAGGTAGTCACAAAGGCAGCCTTGCCACTGCTAGCTAGATTCATGGGGATTTGTCAGTACCCTGAAGACAAATCCAACGTGCTGAACCATTTTGCTGTAGGAAACACGCTAACAGAATCGTCAGTGCACAGCAGCAGATCAGCCCCTAGACAGATGCCATGTTCACTTGCCTGTAATCAGTGCAGAATCTTTAGGGTCACTAGTACTATGGGAGAAGACCACGTACTGCTTGATTCCTAACAATGCCTCGCTGCAACAAGTCTCTTGATTTTTACACACTCTGCCAGTGAGGTATGGCAGAGATGCGGTTTCATAGTTCTTGGGTTTCGGGTATAAATGTGGTGTTTTGTCAAGTTTGTCCTGCCCAGATCTTGCTTGGATAGGGAGAATACATCTTTGTCCCTGACTTTCCTCTTTGGTCAACTGTTGTGAGCTTCACTGCCAAAGTTCTTTGGGAGGATCTGGCAACATTTCCCCCCTCTTGTCTCCACCCTCGAGTATTTTGCGAACTGCACTCTTAGGGATGTCTGAACCGTAACTCTGCTACACTAGTCACTGGTTTGGCCACAGCTACAACTGTTACCATCGCCACTGTTTCCAAACGACGTATTGGTGAAAGGATCACAAGCTCAGTGACAGAGGAGGTGACAAAGGAGACAGCGTCTGGCTCGTACTTTGCTGTAAGACAGATCCACAAAACGTTTTTCTCAGACATTTGCTGAATGTCCCTTCTTCTAAAACCAAAAAATGGTTTCCTGGATTTCCTTTATGGCAGCAAAATTTTTCTTTTTGCTTTGAACCTCACGTAGCACTCATCTTTTTAACTGGTAAAGGACAGTACTCTGCCAATTCACCAAAAAACAAATAAACAAACTGTCAACATTACAGAAACGCGCCCATTCAAAAACGTCGATCGTGAAAATGCAAATAAGTGAAAATTGACGTTAATTTAGTGTCAATCAAGAAATCCCCTGGGTATATCCCTTTCCTGGTTATTGTTCCTGCTAAGACATCCGCAACATTTGCCTATTCTTCGATGAAGAATAGAACTTCACGAGACTAACAATAGCTCAGTCTGTTTAAAAACTGTCTAAATTTACTCCGAATTAGCATGTGACTTTTTGCTGTTAAACGCTTCAAAATTAAAAAATCCTCGATGATTGTTCTTGATTTTGCCGTAAATAATTCAATGAACTTACTTAAAATGAATTTCTACCTTTTACAAACTTCTTGGTGTTCGAATCGATCGATGAAATATGAGCGCAACCGATGCGTTAATAGTTTGTTTAGATTTTGATTTTGGATAAATTATAAATAAAAAGGCAAAAAATGAAAAAGCGATACTTTCTTTTGAAGATAATTTTAGCAAAGTATAAGGCAAAATTAACATATTTAGAACGCTATAACTACATATTTAACGGCCAAACCTAAACAGCGATCTAATCCGTCTCTTGAAAACAACTACAATACCGCTTCTGATGATAATATTTATAAACGCCGCAAACATTTTTATTCAATCTTATCGAGTGATTTTCGGGAAGATGAGTTTTTAAGTGAAGAATACTTTGGTTTCTGATTAGCTTTAACTGTTTTGCCATCAAAACGATTCGCAGGAGACTACCCAATTCGCGAGGGTTTTATGTTAGTGCACGAGGAAGAAAAATGCTTCTCTTTGCATAAACATTTTCTTCTTTGTAGCAATGACAAAGACATTCCAACACTTAAAACAATGGCAACCTACTTCTATTGTTTCTGCATTGTCATTGTAACTTCATAGCGCGAATCTTTGTTTAGATGGTTGTAACACAGACGGCAACCACAAGAAAGACAACAGGATGATTACGGAATTTGGACAATAAGACTGAAGCATACGCGATGTAATATTTCAAGAAGAACAAATTTGCATGCATTGTTTAGATACTGGTTTCGCTTTTTGTGTTATTGCCGGCAGGATCAATTAAGCAACATTGAAACCGCATTGGAATTTTGGTACATCTAGAAAAGCGGGCTGGTTTTCATTTGATCACTACGATCCTTGCAATCGCTAAAAAATAAATACGATTTAGCGATCCTGGCACTTGATGATTTCTATTTGATGGCTGCGATTGCTGCGATCGGCGAGAAAGTGACCAAAGTCCGAAAATTGCAAATGTGTTTTAAATTAAGGAAAGTTAAGATGACCTTTCCACAGCTTCGTCAGTAAACATTTCTGGAAAGAACTTTGATTTTGCAATGCTAATAAAGTTCTACCCATAAATCCAGTAGGTCCTACCGTTCACTGTTTATACGTTTTTCAAGCGACAATGTTTTTCAGTCAGATACCATCGCTGCGATTGCCGAGGTAGAACTTTTTCTTTCTCGATAGTTACCAAAAAAGGTGCCGTTCATAATCATTTACGGTTCCTTTTTGTAGAGGAAATTTATTTAGCTTTTATTTCATGAATCACACATTTTCTTTTGTTATTCAACATCCTTTATTTAACTTACATTCTTCATGAATATTTAACTAACTGAAAGTCCGGGGAGGGCTTGATAATGTAGCAGGGAAGAGCGGGGCTGATGAATTGAATAAATTGCTAATTATAAATGCAAGGACAATATCTATATAAATACAGTCGACTCCCGATAACTCGAACCTTCAAGGGAAATCGAAAAAGGTTTGAGTTATTGGGAGTTAGAGTTATCGGGAGTTCCAAGAAAATAACCGAGAGTAAGGTACAAAACAGTTTTTACTGCACAGTGAACATTTTAATCACATTTAATTGTAGAAAGTCAAGTGAAAATTAAAAGATACTTTTAGATTATAAATCAGAACGTAACGTAACAAAACATCACCTAAATAGAGCATGCGTTTTACTGTTTTGAGAAGAAAAGCTTCTTCATATTAGCCTGTGACAATCAACATCAGCCTCCACTGGTAAACTATACTCCTACAACACGTCAATATAGGAAATCCAAAATTCAATGTTTCGGACGCCAGTAGACGGCTTTTTTCGCGACTTTTTAAGGGCTCAAAACATGGTTCGAGTTATCGAGGGTAAAATTATAAAGAAAATGACCTGAGGGGAAACGAAAATTGGTTCGAGTTAGCGGGAGTTCGAGTAATCAAGGGTTCGAGTTATGTATTGGTCAAATCGAAGCTTCACCATGCCCCTCCCCCCCCCCCCCCCCGGGCAAACCCCCGGGCATTTGACTTTTTTGAAAATTATTGTTCAAATTCCCCCCTACCCGGGCCAAAATACCGTTCAATTGCCCCACACTAGGGTCCATTCAGGTGTTCAAATACCCCCACCCCCGGGGACATTTGAAAACTTTTTAATATTATTATCCACTATGTAGGAGCTCTTGAAGCTGAGTCTGCAGACAGGTTGCAATAGACAGTACAGTTTTTGTTCTAATTTATTCTGTAACTGCTTTTTAATAAAGAAGACCAATATTAAATATACGTGTAGTTGACCAATTTTGATCATGAATCGTTAAGTGCAACCTCAATAATCATGTCCTTATTAAATATTATCAGTATATAAAAATAGTGTTCCGTTGATGCAACTATCGTGCTTGAAAATTTGTGAAGTTTTCAATACATCTGTAGCAACCGTTGGTCATGTGATCAACTCTTTCTAAAAACAAAATTCTCTGGAAAAAGTGTTGAGGCTTACATCTCAAAAGATTAGCGAATGCTACGGCCGCCGAAAATAAGAGGGATTCGTATGGGAAGAACAAATTAAAGCGATCAGCCACGGTTTTCCATACAAACCCTTTTACATTTAGAAAAAAAAAAACAGGTCGTTTAATCGAGATTTCAAATTCGGTATGATTTTAACGCAACTATTAAACCAAGAGAAACAAGAGCGATGAAGATAAGCAGATATAAGCAAAGATGAAATTATCGTTGCTTCTTTTTCGCTCTTGTTTCTCTTGCTTTCTGCACTGCCTTGGCACGTGTTAGCTTCTTTTTGGAGAGATGGGCAATCCAAATTTGTACTTCTTCTTTAGAGAGGCAGCTCCTTTTTGCTAGTGGGATAAGGTCGTCTTCTGCTTGAATTCCCTTCTTAAATGTCTCTTCGATTAACATGTTAGGTGGGAGAGCTCTTATTGCCTGATTGTTTATACGAAGTTGCAGCAGTGTTGAAATATCCGTCACATAATGGCCGGTGCATTGGCTGTGGCAGGTCTGGTCACATTGTCAACAGGGTATAGTCTGGGAGCAAATGTGGTCCCGTGTGAAGTTCGTGCTGAAAGCAAGCATCTAGTGTAAAAGTGTTCATTAGGACCTACTAAACATAAAAAGTTTTGGTGCCAGCTTTGCAACTTGCTCAGACGGCTTTTAAGGGGGGTTAAATTCTGACCCATGAAATCCAACATGGAAACGAGGCTAAAACACATAATTCCTCATAACTTTGTTAATAATAGACGAAAATACACCAAACTTGCTCACATGATTGTACATGATCCTCCCTGTTGATTTATGCTAATTTACATAGGTCACGTGACCTTACGCATGAAAGCGAGGCTGAAACACATAATTTTCCATAAATTTGTCGAAAAAGATCCTTATCATGCCAAACTTGCTCACCTTAGTCAGTTAGACATCTTTCATCGATTGGTGCCACTTTGTAGTGTCACGTGACCCCATACATTGAAACGAGGCTGGATATATCTGGTAACATCGTGTAGGATGGCATTTGTCTTGCCAAATGTATTAACAACTACTGGGCAGATACATATCTGGTTATCTGAGTTCAGATATAAAAACTTCAACTTATCATTGTCCTATGGCTCATAGCACAGGGACGAGACGGATAAAGCAAATACTGCGGAGGCTCCATTTGAGAATCTATCTTGTACACATAATCAATAATTTTGCCAACTTATGATACTGGTTCCATGTATTCAATTTCGCATGTATATTGGAACAAGGGCAGAAAATGAAAATAGCGAATACTGCTATTTTATATATACAGTCATGAAAGTCTTACTGAATATCTATATACATTGTTCTGTTGTCCATTCCTATGGAATTTCCTGTTCGACTTCGTCTTCATCATACTCATCATCACTCTCAGCATACTCGTTCTGGCAATCTTCAGAGCACAGACAGAGATCAGTACAGACAAGTCCGGCTTTTTGATACTGACAACGGTTGTTAGAGCAACGGGACTTGGCGCACTTGCATCGGACAAGCTGTATAATTGCCTCTGGAGTTGGTGGAAGATTTGTCATGACTGGTACCCACTTTCCATCTTCATCTTGCCATCCATAGCCTTCTGGTGAGGGCAACACCGGGTTTGCTACATGATCATTGTTCCAAACAAGAAGCTGGTAGTGCGCTCTCAGTATGGCTTGATGGAGAGCAGCTTGTGTGGGCGGCAACCTCTCAGACTCAGCTTGATTTTTCTTAAAGAGGGACCATCTGAGGGCTTTGACAGTTTTGATGTCTGTCTTTGGTTTGTACATCCGACAAACCAGCTGTTCCACTCCACTTCTTGTGCCGTCATCTGGCTGTTCCCCACAACCGAGGTTAGCAAGAGCTTGCAAGATAGGAGTGCTGGCGTTATCAAACTCATCCCAACAAGTGGCTTTTCCCTTTCCAGAGAAACACCCAGTAACATCTGCTCCGGTCAACGCATGAAATGCTGGCAGCGCAGCCGTCTTAGTGGGCCCAAGGGCGTCTGCGATTGACTTCAAGTTGATAACTCTACGACTACTGCCGGTCCCAGTAACAAAGCAAGAGTTCGAGCACAAATCTGGATACCGTCGAAGAGCCAAAACAAGAACATCAGTGTCAGGAGAATTTATAGAGAGTTGGGTAGCACCTTGAGCAGAGGCATCCAGAGCATGTAAAATAATCTTCGTGTCGGCTTCTTCTTGTGTACTTCGTAAATGCCTAACGTCTCTGTGCGTTGCCTCACATTCCGTTCCCCATGCCACAACGACTTGTCTCCCATTAGCATTATCCTTCACATTCTTTGCGAGAAACGTAGTAAGTTCGCCCTTGGTCTTTGAATGAGCAAGAAGCTTCTTCATCGGCAGCTTGGCGATGTGGGTAGAATCAGTGATGCGATAATAAATGGGAACATGGCCACCTTGTCGTTTGACTCGTGTTGCTGATTTCAGTGAGGATGGTACATCATATCTGTCGAAGATTATGTGGAGCTCTTGTAAATCATTATACTTTACAAGCAAGCGATTCGTGAAATGTTCAGCCAAGTCTCTACAGTTCTTGATCCACTCTGGCTTGTCAAGTGATTGGACTTTGGCCATTCCATCAACAATCGCGACTTTGAATCCTGCGGTGATTTCTTGTGTATTAGTACTAGGGCCACCTGCCTTCTCTAGGATATGCATAAGGGCACTCTTGCAAGAACAATGCAACATGGTACCATCTCGTGCAAACAAAGATCTTGGGACAACAGTGAACTCATAGAAGCCAACAGCCTCTTGGATGTCAATTTCTGGGCGGCTCTTGCACACCATCGCCAAACGAGCAAACAGATTTCTGTCCTCCTTTAACTCGATGATCGTGTCTTTAGCTTTGACTTTGATGACCTTAGCACTCGTTTTCCAGGTAAGAAGATTGCGCTTCTTTACAGGAGCCCAGAGGTTGATCTTTCCTGTCTTGATCCTATCTTGTACAAAAGCACTGAATAGCTTTCTCCCTTCTTCACTCTGATTAACAAGATCTTTCTTCGTTTTCTCATTCATCACAACTTTTGTGACCAAGTTGTACAGATCGGTGTTGGTGTTCTGGTCTGATGAAAAGGGATTGGTGAAGGTCTTGATTGTCTCAGTCAACTTATTTATGCTGTTATCTTCGCAAGCGCCAAAACAGCTGAGTTTAGTTCTTGATGGTGTGCACGTTCGAACGAGACCAGCCATTGCCTTGGCTTCCGCTGTGAGTCGGGCTAGTTCTGGGGCAATGAGGAAAAACTTGGCTCGTGCGCTCTCATTCAAAGTGATCCCTACAAGCCCACCAGAAACTTTCATAGATCGATTGAGGTGTTCCAACGCAGTATCACCACCAACAGCACAGAAGGGAACCTCCTTGTTCTTGTTCACTACCCAGTTTCCTGTGATGAACTCTCCATAAATCTCGGGGTCTGATGATTCGAGGGATGCCATTTCAGCTAGGTACAGGGGGATCATCCTTAGATAACAGATCTTGTCGTGCACAAAGAAGTACTTTGTGAACAACTCGAGTGCAATTAGATGGAGCTTCCAATCACCACTGCGGACTGCCTGGATGAATGCGAACATCTCCATTACCATGCGCATGTATTGGCGAAATACAGTAAAGAGAGGATTTGTGGCATTCGCAGCGTCAAAATCAGACATCTTCTTGACTACTTCGGAAGACTGGATCGCGTTGGTAGAGCTATGGTGCGCCGTCTGGATGTTCTCCTTAGTGCCTTCTTTGCACGCATCTCCAACTTTCGTAGAGAGTTCCTCGAGGGTACGATGTACATCAGGAGAGCCTTCTAGAAATGCTTCCAGGTATAAGGAAAATAAAGCCTGTAAGGTGATCATGTGTGCTCTTTTACCACGCTTAACATGGTTGCCATCGATTATCTGTTTAACAGTGGAGGGGCCATAAAGTTCCGACTCGATCCAGCACATGTCTATCCCGCTACTGTCAATATATGACCCAATGGTCCTCAGCATAGCCATAACCACATGCAGCTCCCCTGGTCGAAGGAGAATGTTCTTGAGCTCGCATCGGGCCATCTGTAGTCGTTTAGCGGGCAGATACAAACCAAGGTCTAGCGATATGACTGTTTTCCTCCCGGGACCGACTACTCTAAAAGAGATATTTTGAGCACGCATCAGAACTGTGAGGAGCGTGCTCCATTCATGAGCAGGATGTGCCAACAATGGAGGAGCACCGACACGTGTGACAGGTAGTGCTTCATTTACCAAAGAGTTGTACGCTGACCATACGGGTACAGGAGGCTGATCATTATCATCATCACTTGGGGCATCATGGCCTGTAAGAGTACGAGACACTATCCAGGTAGCATTCTCATCACGGATGTTTTGGGGCAACTCTTGTTCTGATGACAGCTCAAATGTAGGGTACGCGAGGAGAAGGGGGCCTTGATGGCGGCTCCACGCATGGCATTAAAGATGTCAGCGATTCGGGCAGTTCGGTTACAGAACGGCATGAATCATTTGGCTCCTCTAACCTATCAAAATGAAAAACAAAACGCAACAACAGCTACTTATGAAGCAAAATGCTGTTCAAGAAGGGGATCTTTTCTATCCTACATCCTAGAAATGAGATTAGCTTTTAACTTACTAGCTAGTGTTATTGAAACAAAGAAAAACCTGAATCACACAGACCAGTCAAGCCAAAGTAAAAGGAAAATTAAACGTCTATTATCTAATTAATCCCCCTCCCATCGAGCTCTTGGGATTAAATGAGTGCATCATGCTTCTTAGTAGAACAGTTATGGTACCTTAATACAGGTTCTTCATCTTGGGGTTCCACTTTCTGATAAATAGCCATTGCTGTGCCGTGTAGAGTACGTTTCCCGTCCGGCGTATCCTCTGAGAAATCGATATTATCAATAGCAAAATATACGTGCCGTCCTTTCACGATATCCGGAGGGAGAAACATGCCACCTTCACTCTCTATGCGCTTCAGGACAGTTTTCTCAATTTGTGACTCCACCCTCAACAAGCGATTGTACTCTACAGCCATGCCAAATCCATGGAGGAGATTAACCAGCTCTTTGCTTCGTACTGCTTGGTGTATTGCTAGGCTAACTGCGAGGTGTTGGGGCATTTCTCTAGTGCAGTAGACCGCTTTTTGACCTCTTATTGTCAACCTGCCTGTCCGTTAGACACAAAGCTATTGTATTCTGCGCTAATTGCATTGCTCTTTTGTGTACCTCATTGCATTTTTTATCAGATAGTGTCTTATTGGGACCTTGGATTATCCACCTAAAGAAGCAGGTAAGCTCTTCGGGCAGTGATCATGTGTCATTGTATCCAGAGAGCCAGAGAAGACCCATTTCTCGCTTCGATTAATAGCCTTTCTCAATATTGAAGCGGCATCGAAGAGAGTTTTCATAGATTCATCACTGTCAGCTGTGGATTCTACGATATGGATAGCGGTATCTCTACACTGCTTTTACGCTGACCCTCTCGGGCTCATTAGCTCTAGAGGGCTTATGGAACTCAACTCCCTTTATCTCTTTCTGGATAAGCTCTTTAACTGAACGTCGACTTAGAGTCTTTGGACTATTGTTCTCGTTTGAAATGGAATCAAAAGCCTGTTCCAACTGTGCCATGTTGAGTATTTCTCCGCTATCGAGGGCAGCTTGGGTAAGGTTCAAAAACTCCAGCTTAGCCGCTGTCTCACTTCTTGACCTTTCCTCGTCATCTTTGATAGTTTTACGCAGGACCCCACTCACATGCTTCGCCCAGCAGCTTTTATGATATTTAATATCAATGGCATGAGCGTCAGTGCTGTCTAGAGCCGTCAAGAGCTTCACGAGTAGTTTAGGATCCTTTGATTGCTTTACTGCATTATCAAGAGAGCTACCAGCAGATGATGTTGACACCAAATGCAGAGGGTTCTGGTACTTCGCTTTCTCTTCACAAAAGAAGCACAGATTGCTGTCATAAGGGACGGTTTTCGACCTTGTAAGAAGACCCTGGTTAGTGAAATGAAATGAAATGTTTTGAGATGTCAAGGATGTCATTACCAGCTTTACAGCGATTCCAAGATGAAAAACACTATAAAATAAAAAGTTAAGGTTATAAGCCATTACACCTAGCAATTACCTGAAGCGATTCACTTGTCTTTCTTCGAGCTTCATTTGGCCCTCGAACCTCTCTCTGAAACCTCTCTTTTACCCTCTTGATCTTTCCTGAGTGGGTGGTTTCTTGGTAGCACGACCTATGCCATGTTGCTTTTTCTTTAAGCTCTTCTAGTGGTAGATCTTTAAGCACAAGCCACAATGTTTTCGAGTTGATGTCCTCGTACTTTGAACGTTCTTCGGTGGCTTCTAAAAGCTTTTGATGCGAAGTTGGATTTTCAACAAGATTGGCTGTACTTTTTTCTTGGCAGATTACACATAGCTTAAAATCTAAAGGGGCATTAGACCGGCCAAAATCCGTCATACTACAAGCACTGTGATGACTGTAAGTACAACATGGTGGACACTCAAATAATTACCGCTGACCAATAGTTCAGGCTCACAATCACCCAGGCCCCCTAGGTTAAGAATCCACAGGAATTTGCGCGAAATAGGATTGTAGAAATCGCTCATAATAAAGGTATATAAGCCACACGAAATACATTATCATTACACCTTTTTAGCGTTTATTTTTTTTCATTCAAATGCTATACATACAGCATTAATATGCATTACAATGAGTCAACGTTATTGTCCTGGATGATGTGTTCACCTTTGGCGTGTTTTGCAATCCAGCCTCATTTCCATGTATGGAGTCACGTGACACTACAAAGTGGCACCAATCGATGCAAGATGTCTAACTGACTAAGGTGAGCAAGTTTGGCATGATAAGGATTTTTTTTGACAAATTTATGGTAAATTATGTGTTTCAGCCTCGCTTTCATGCGTAAGGTCACGTGACCTATGTAAATTATCATAAATCAACAGGGAAGATCATGCCCAATCATGTGAGCAAGTTTGATGTATTTTCGTCTATTATTAACAAAGTTATGAGGAATTATGTGTTTTAGCCTCGTTTTCACGCTGGATTTCATGGGTCAGAATTTAACCCCCCCTTAAAAGCCGTCTGAGCAAGTTGCAAAGCTGGTACCAAAACTTTTCATGTTTAGTAGGTCCTAATGAACACTTTTACACTAGGTGCTTGCTTTCAGCACGAACTTCACACGGGACCTTATTTTATGACATTTGCTCCCAGACTAGTAAGGGAAGAAATCAAAATAGGGTCCGTCCGGGTACCACTTCGGAAGGATTTCTGTTTGGGAATTGTCATCAACTAATTTGCGGCACTGCTGGCATACGAAAGAGACGTCATCGTCAGCCATCTTGTTTCCTTCTTCCTCTGTTATCCGAATACAGTCACAATGGAACCACTCGCCACATTGATCGCAACATATCATGAATTTATCTCCTTCTGGCTGACAGCAAATGCAAAAAATTTCCTTGCTCGCATCTCTCACTGTCGCCTGATTTGTCCTCACAGGGATTTCTCGGTGACGTGCACTTCTTTCACACAGAGGATGAGGGCAGCCTTCTCTTCCACAACACCTCAGCAGGAATATGTAGTTGATTGGAAGGTTGTGATCCAAATGATTTTGTCTAACTTTCCACACTTTCTCAAAATATTCATACTCCTCGTGGTCTTGTTTTCTCAGCTCAGCTTTTTGCTTTACACTGCCTTTAAGGAAAACAAGTAAGCGACTTTTTCTCTCTAAGAAGGGATGGTCAATAGCCCCTCTTTGTAGCTTTATCGTTGTCCACATACAAGGACTGTCGTCAACTCGTTCTATGTACTGCTTTAATGCAGCCTCCATGTTAGCACGATATTTTTCCTCGCTGAACTGGCCTTCTTCGTCACATGGTTCTCCACATAAGGTTGATGAGATGAACAAATTTGAGTGGGCACGACTCAGACAGCCGTTTTGAAGTTCAACGCGGTTAAGGAAGCTATCACCACTTGATCTAGTGGTAACAAGAGTTACCTTTAAGAGCCGTTCAATTTAATTGGGACTCGTTCAATATAATTGGGACTAATTGCTGTTAGCTGTTATTGCCTGTTATCAGCCATTAGAGCCAATCAGGATCAAGATTATCTTTGGCTAAGAGCTAGTCTAATGTTATCAGATAACAAACGCATTAGATCCAATGGCAAGCTTGTTAGTGAATAACGGGATAACAGCTAATAACAGCTAATAATACTTCACCCATTATACCCAATCACAAGTTTGTTAGAGAATAACGGGATAATATGCTACATTCCACAAGTGTGAATTTGACCCGTGAGGTAAAAATCTATTTCATGACAAGTCAGTGCATCATTCTCGAGTACATACTGGAAGGTTGTACGCATATATGCATATTTGATCCATTAGCTGCCGTGAACTCATCTAAAACTCTTTTTGGTTTATTTATCATGTTTTTGAAAAACGTCAAAATTTTACCGTTTTCAAATAACCGATAGGCTTTTTAACCCAGCACCTACAAAACAGTGGAATGTTCAAGAATAGAACAAGAAAATCAGGAAATTACTTTATGATCTTTGAAGAAGCGTAGCTCATAACAAGCATGCAACTATCCAACGATCTCTCGATAATAGGTCAGTGATACAATAGTTGTGAATAGGAAACAGAACAAATCAACACTGCCCAGAGGAAGTTTATCAGTTATCAAGTGACAATTGCTGACATTCCAGCCCATTCCTGCACGCAAATTTCTTAGACAGTACACTAACACATTTATTTTCTTAAGTTAAAACGATCTTTACACTTCCCTTTATTTCACTTTGATTTAACGACGAAATCTGTTTAGAATAAGGGAACGCGTCCAAATATCGGCATCGGGTCACACCGATGCCGATCAATTGGGCACCGATTTTTTCCGATTCTGTTGAATGTCGGAATCGGCAACGGGTCTCAAGTCTTTATCGGGCCAATTAACAAAGGTCATCAAAAATATCTGGCAGCTCAAATAACCCGTCACAAAAGCAAAAGCGTGAATGTTGGTTCTCGATGCACAAACACGTTAAATTTCCAATTTAAATGTTGTAGACCAGCAGATAAAGTGTTTCTTCTTATTATTAACATTATCTTTCTTATAAACGTGTCTTGTTTGAACCGAAATTTAACGTCACAGTTTCGAACATTTGTTTGTACTTACCTATGACAGAGTATGACCAGAAAATATTAAATTTGTGTATCAAAATGAGCACGAGAAGAAACAGCAGGTCATTCAACAACGCTGAAGAGCGTCTTTTGAGTGAAAGACGGCGCAATGTACATTGCAAGTGTACGATCTCAAAATGATAATTTTAAAATAGCTTGAGCCCGTGGTAACTGGAACCCAAATCGCATGATGAAAGAAATCTTTAAAGGAATAACCAGTTTAGGACTTTAAGCGAAAAAAATACAAAGAAGTCAGAACATCCACGACCAAAACGCAAATGTTGTTACCATGTTGTGTTCTTTAACTGCTTAAATTGCCACAGGAGAGAAGAGAACATCGTCTGAGAATCAAGCTGCAAGTTGCTTATTGGTTGCATATGAACTCAAAAAAGTGACTGATGGAGGCGCTCAACTGGTTTTCTCTTTCTCGATTCTCTTTCCGCTATTAAATTGAGTCAAACTTATCGGATGTATGCACAGTTTGCTTTAGTTGAACACTCCGGTAAAAAAGGTTCTGCTTTTTGTCAAAAAGTCAGCCACCTTGAGTCAAGTGCAAATTTTGGTAAGCACTGAGAATGGAAAGCAATTTCACGTGGCACCATCCTCAAGCTCACAGAACAACTAAGTCGCTAAGCCATCCTCTCTTTGTATGAAACTTCGTTCCGTGTTTTCCGTGACTCACGAGTGTAGGAATCTTCAGTTCTTTTTGCTAATTCCCTGGAGACAATCTTAGGCCGCAATCTAATTGGTCGGTATTTTTTGCCGCAGATCGCATTGCACCTTGCGTTTAGGATCGTTGAATGAAAGTCGCAAATTTTCGTAAAAATTTATCCCGTGCTTTTATATTATCCATGGGTTTGCTCTCGCTCCGCTCGCTAGGAAACCCGTTGAGGTCTACTTGTAACAAGTCTATGCATCCAGTTGTGTTTCTAGAAAGTGAGTTCTGGTTGTCTTTTTGGATTGCATTGTTAGAAAGTATCGAGTAAAGAACACACTACTCAGTATGGTGTTTTGTTTGCTATGTATCAACGAAGAACAGTGGTGCTTTGCGTCGTAATATTTAACTCCTTTTAATTTTCATAGAATAAATTTTATGGAGCAGCGTGGTGTCTGCCATCGACTGAAGGAAATACCTCTGCAAAACGTCGAAAATCACGTGTAGGCATGCATCAAATCAGCAAAATAGAAACACAACATGCAGAAACATACAATATTGTTATTTGTTATGGAGTAGGAAAAAGGTACAGTCGATACAAATTACTTTAGAGTGAAACGACTCTTTTGGTTTCGTGACACGCTTCATTTTATGTATAAATCGGCAAAGTTTTTATCGTAATCGGAAACGGCAACTGGTGCCTACAGATCGGTACCGATTCCGAACAATCGGAAAATTAATCGGGTCCGTTTCCCATGATTGGGTACCCTACCGATATTTGGACGCGCTCCCTAAAAAGAAAGGCAAACTTGATGTCACCTAAGGAAAAACCGCCGTTTCCGTTTTTCATTTTGCACTAATCATCACTTTTTAAAGACATATTTGTACGTAAAATATATTGACTTCTATACAGAAAAATTTTGAAAGGTCAGAAAGGTTTTACTCTGACACGTTTTGAGAAACCTTTTGTTTGACCATTATTCGGCGATCGATCAGATTTAAAGGGGACATTTTTACGCGCCCTAAAAAGTTGTTAGAAGAAAGTAGCGAGTATAAGTTATTTAGTCATACGGCGGCGGGACTTGACGGAACGCAAAGAGAGCGTTACAATCTAATGGCATACGAGCGACTGCAGGCATCTCATGACATGTCGACTTTGGCTAAGAGCTAGTCTAATGTTATCAGATAACAAACGCATTAGATCCAATGGCAAGCGTGTTAGTGAATAACGGGATAACAGCTAATAACAGCTAATAATACTTCACCCATTATACCCAATCACAAGTTTGTTAGAGAATAACGGGATAATATGCTACATTCCACAAGTGTGAATTTGACCCGTGAGGTAAAAATCTATTTCATGACAAGTCAGTGGATCATTCTCGAGTACATACTGGAAGGTTGCACGCATATATGCACATTTGATCCATTAGCTGCCGTGAACTCATCTAAAACTCTTTTTGGTTTATTTATCATGTTTTTGAAAAACGTCAAAATTTTACCGTTTTCAAATAACCGATAGGCTTTTTAACCCAGCACCTACGAAACAGTGGAATGTTCAAGAATAGAACAAGAAAATCAGAAAATTACTTTATGATCTTTGAAGAAGCGTAGCTTATAACAAGCATGCAACTATCCAACGATCTCTCGATAATAGGTCAGTGATACAATAGTTGTGAATAGGAAACAGAACAAATCAACACTGCCCAGAGGAAGTTTATCAGTTATCAAGTGACAATTGCTGACATTCCAGCCCATTCCTGCACGCAAATTTCTTAGACAGTACACTAACACATTTATTTTCTTAAGTTAAAACGATCTTTACACTTCCCTTTATTTCACCTTGATTTAACGATGAAATCTGTTTAGAATGAAAAGAAAGGCAAACTTGACGTCACCTAAGGAAAAACTGCAGTTTCCGTTTTTCATTTTGCACTAAGCATCACTTTTTAAAGACATATTTATACGTAAAATGTATTAACTTTTATACAGAAAAATTTTGAAAGGCCAGAAAGGTTTTACTCTGACACGTTTTGAGAAACCTTTTGTTTGACCATTATTCGGCGATCGATCAGATTTAAAGGGCACATTTTTACGCGCCCTAAAAAGTTGTTAGAAGAAAGTAGCGAGTATAAGTTACTAGGGACTTTTAGCATCGACAAAGGTGATGGCAGCGAAAACGTCACTTTTAAAAATGAATTGGCGTTTTTTCCAACTTTGTCGTGTTTATTTTTATTCGCTGAAAATAGCCAATGTAGGCCAATTTCACTGGAGTTGAAAGAAAAGTTTGTCGTCGCTTGTTTTACGTCCTCCATAAAACGTGAAACTAGACATTTTCGCGTCGTAGTCGAGCAGTAACGGCAAAGAAATATACAAAAAAGCGTGATGCACGTGCAAACTAGTTGTTTTGCTCAATAAACCTATTGCTTTGTGTACGTTCTCGTTGCCGTCGCCGTTACTAAAACTTCCTATTTAGTCATACGGCGGCGGGACTTGACGGAACGCAAAGAGAGCGTTACAATCTAATGGCATACGAGCGACTGCAGGCATCTCATGACATGTCGACTTTGAGATAACTATCAACGGCTTTGAATTCTTTCCATGTGCGAGAAACCAAAAAGTATGCAGACAGGACCAAAGCGGGAATATGTTATGGCGATAATGGCCGATAATCAAGGCACCATCAATTGTGATGAATGGTGAACAAATCTACTCTTTTTGCTGAACATTTTCTGACAGAGAGAAACGGAATTTTTCAGTGGCCTCAAAAAAAGGACTGGGATAAAGTAGCGCCAGAATTCATATTCTGTCGCAATGTAGAGGTCATTGACGATAATAAGAGTGTGCAAGTGAAAAACTTGACATCAATAAAAAGTAAATTTGGCGCTTTTTGTGGCAAATATTTTTATCTATTCCCTGTATTTGGAGTATTTTTGGCGTTTTCTGTGTACATGTTGCGAAACTGAAGAAGACACATAGGGCCGGTTAAAAATGAGCCGGTGTTGTAACTGGCTGAATCTGTACAGCCCGAATACGTATGAAATGTTCTTTACCATAGTTAAAGTCAAGCATGCACACTGATTTCTAGATTTATTTATCCATTAATAAAGGATTGTCGAGATTTATCGTGGTTGTAACCCGAGACAGCTGTACCTCCGATTTATGATTTTGTTAGCCCGGCATAGCATTATTTGAAAGACTCTGCAAAATATGTTGGCGCTTCAATTTTGACCCTTGGTTTATTGAAGTGTTTTTTCTTTTGTTTGTGAGTATGGCAATCTGACAATAATTTTTGTTGCAAGTTTTTAGAAAATTTTAATGTGCTAAAATCGCAAAGTGGACCAGTAGAACAATTATGTACAATGATTTTTGTACCTATATTAATTTACACACTGATTCACGATAAGTCACGGTTTTACTTCCATTAGAATGCTTAATGACTACACGTTTTAATCAATGTGATCTATTGTAGCATATTTCACGCGAATAAAACATTTGATAAGAAAAGTTGTTAAAATTCGCGATTGGGGAGAGAAGAGATAAACCGAAAAATGTTGCCGCTTAACATTTCAAGCCTGAGTCACGGTTTTCTTATTGTCAGCAAATTCCATGCTCGGAAAAATAAAGTCTAAAATAATATGTAGTATACTTTAAATCATGCTTACTTGAATAAAACAATGTATATACAAAATTGATTAAATGCAAGAATACGGGAATATCAAATAGTGAAGAGAGTACAGCCGGAAAATGTTGATTAGCCGGTTGTTAAAGTTAACGAGAGCAGAAAGGGCTATTGTGTGCGTACCCACTCTCCCACATAAGCCGTCCTTTCATGTGAACATGGAGAATTCCTAGGGAAATCTTTTGCTCTGGGGCAAGTCCAAAAATGAGAGCAGAAAGCGTAGTCCTCGAAATTTTTACTTCCGAAAGGTGTCGTAAACGAAACTCACTTCCGGAATTAAGAGAGACGAGAAAAAAGGCCATTGCTGGACGCGAAAGGATACATACACATCATAATACTTTTTGTGATATATTCTTCCAGATGAAAATGAAGTAACACCTGAGGTAAGCGTTTTACATTATTTTGGGGGGGCATTATAATCTGTCGATTCTTAAGAGAACTTTTCGTAAGAAACCTTGAGTTTTCTACTGCACCTTCGAACAGGCTTCTGTTTCCATTACATCGATTTTACACCAGTAGACGTGACGAGAATTAAAGATGGCGCAAAGGTACCGACTTTGGCGCCAAAACGGATAACGAAAGTAATTGTTTAATATGAATTGGAATGAAAGGGTTTTGTGACAAGCTTGACTCAAATAGAGAGTGCGTTTGTTTTGTAATACCGTTTAAAATGTTCAGCAAAAAGAGTAGATTTGTTCACCATTCATCACAATTGATGGTGCCTTGATTAGCGGCCATTATCGCCATAACATATTCCCGCTTTGGTCCTGTCTGCATACTTTTTGTTTTCTCGCTCATGGAAAGAAGTCAAAGCCGTTGATAGTTATCTCAAAGTCGACATGTCATGAGATGCCTGCAGTCGCTCGTATGCCATTAGATTGTAACGCTCTCTTTGCGTTCCGTCAAGTCCCGCCGCCGTATGAGCGTATGACTAAATAACTTATACCCCGGGGGGGGTACTCCCTAATATGGGCTATATAGGTATGTGCGGCCCCAAAGGGTAGGGTTTTTCAGCCGTTTTGGTCATAAATTGGGTATCGATTTTGCCTATTTTGCCGCCATTTTGGTCATAAATAGGGTAACGATTTTTGCACTGTAGTCTTGAATGCACTTTTTTAGAAGAAGCTACTTCCTTATCATGTCCCCCTCCTTCCATCCGCGCCTTGCCTTCCTCTCCACCGGCTGCTTTGTAGGCTAGGAAATACAAGCAACAAAAGCCCTTCACAAAATAGGGTATCAAATTTTTGGTTAGGTCATAAATAGGGTAGGGAAAATCGCAGATTTTGGTCATAAATAGGGTAAGGGTTTTGGGAAGCGGGGCACCCCTACCCAATTTTTTCGAGTACCCCCGGGACTTATACTCGCTACTTTCTTCTAACAACTTTTTAGGGCGCGTAAAAATGTGCCCTTTAAATCTGATCGATCGCCGAATAATGGTCAAACAAAAGGTTTCTCAAAACGTGTCAGAGTGAAACCTTTCTGGCCTTTCAAAATTTTTCTGTATAAAAGTTAATACATTTTACGTATAAATATGTCTTTAAAAAGTGATGCTTAGTGCAAAATGAAAAACGGAAACTGCAGTTTTTCCTTAGGTGACGTCAAGTTTGCCTTTCTTTTCATTCTAAACAGATTTCATCGTTAAATCAAGGTGAAATAAAGGGAAGTGTAAAGATCGTTTTAACTTAAGAAAATAAATGTGTTAGTGTACTGTCTAAGAAATTTGCGTGCAGGAATGGGCTGGAATGTCAGCAATTGTCACTTGATAACTGATAAACTTCCTCTGGGCAGTGTTGATTTGTTCTGTTTCCTATTCACATCTATTGTATCACTGACCTATTATCGAGAGATCGTTGGATAGTTGCATGCTTGTTATGAGCTACGCTTCTTCAAAGATCATAAAGTAATTTTCTGATTTTCTTGTTCTATTCTTGAACATTCCACTGTTTCGTAGGTGCTGGGTTAAAAAGCCTATCGGTTATTTGAAAACGGTAAAATTTTGACGTTTTTCAAAAACATGATAAATAAACCAAAAAGAGTTTTAGATGAGTTCACGGCAGGTAATGGATCAAATGTGCATATATGCGTGCAACCTTCCAGTATGTACTCGAGAATGATGCAATGACTTGTCATGAAATAGATTTTTACCTCACGGGTCAAATTCACACTTGTGGAATGTAGCATATTATCCCGTTATTCTCTAACAAACTTGTGATTGGGTATAATGGGTGAAGTATTATTAGCTGTTATTAGCTGTTATCCCGTTATTCACTAACAAGCTTGCCATTGGATCTAATGGGTTTGTTATCTGATAACATTAGACTAGCTCTTAGCCAAAGATAATCTTGATCCTGATTGGCTCTAATGGCTGATAACAGGCAATAACAGCTAACAGCAATTAGTCCCAATTATATTGAACGAGTCCCAATTAAATTGAACGGGTGTTCTTTGTTGGCCGATTCATATGTCTTTCAGTCCAAAGGAACTGGACTTCTGTGTGACTGGGTCCCTCATCTGAAGCTCCGTCCACACGAACACATTTGATTTCTTTTACTTCTCCCGAGTCCTCTTGTAGAAACACTGTTTTAGGATGGTCCATAGCTTGAAGCATATCCAGATCTGCAGCATGCTGGGATGGATTCTTTTGGTGCACCCCAGATGCCTTTACAACACCAATGCATACTTCACTTGTAGTTTTTGTTTTCGTGAAGTTGTAGCTGGTTGTTTGTAGTTGTGTCTGGTGTTTGTTAAGGAAATCAGTATGGGTAGTAACAGTTGGACCATCAACATTTAAGGATGGCATGTTCTTATGAGTGAATGTTGAGTCTAACCGAAAGCCTGCTTGGTCATCTCGATTCAACAAAACAATGTGCTTTCCATCTATTTGAAGTTTATCCAAACTCTTGGAAAGGCTATGACTCCACTTTGCATCAGGGTTGAACTTAAGATTAAATCCCTTCCTCGGCCGTTGGTATTTAATGTTCGCAACACCTTTATAACGTTTACTCGACATTCTTCGCTTATCCCGATTGACACACAACTGGAGGAGTGTTCCATGGCTTATCTTCTCACCATAGTGCTGGCAAAGTTTTTCTCGCAATTTTTTAAATGTCATACGTTTCTCTTTTTTAGTGTCACCCGTAAATGTGTACACACCAGTGCGGCGCCATTTGTCTGCCCCCACATCTGCCTCTCTCACAATGTTCTCCATGACCTCTCCAATATCTGGATGTCTTGCAAGAACAGAGCTTTCTGTCTTCTGAGATTTTCGCCTTCCATTCAAACCCTTCAATTCAATTTCTGATTTTGCTAACCGCTTTCCCCTGTCCTTAATCAACTTTAGCTTTCTTAGAATCTCACTTTCATCAGGGCTTTCATCGCAGCAGCCACCAGCACCTCCATAATCGTTCTCGTCATCACTATTAACCTCCTCGATAATTTCATGTATTCGTACTTCTTTCTGTGCTACTTCTGACAAGTATGCTGCACGCGACTGTTCAGCTAGCTGAAATTCGTCATTTGGTAATCCAAGGTTAGGCAGCTGGCTAGCAAAATCAACAAGGAATTGATCAAACACTTCTTGGGAATATCCTTCCTTCTCAAACCGTGACTCTAACAGAACTACAAATGCAAACCAGTTCCACTCAACCTCTCGAAGAATATCCCGGACGACAACAGAATTCACATCTAGACAAGGCAAATCTTTTTCTTTTCTACCGCTACCAGTTGATGGCATGTCATTTCTAAACTGGCTAGTAGGAGACTCATGTCCCAGTTCATTTACCGAAGGCTGGTTTATGGTTGATGGTTCTTCCAAACATGTTTGTGCAGTATCCAGCGGTCTTTCGTTATTTACTTCATTTGGTATCATTTCCTCATCTTCTTCATCAGAACACTCAGATTCTGAACTACTGCTTGTTAAAAAGCCATCTGGAGTACGACCAATAGATTGTAAGTACACCTTTTGCTCAACCTTTGCAAAGTACAAATGCTTGTTCTTGATGGCACTTATTTTTTCTGCCGCAGATACCACCTTCTCAGCTCTTTTTTTTAGGTTAGACATGCCAAACTTAGTTGCTTGACGTGCAGACATGTTGAAAGATGACGCCATTAGATGTTTCATCCTCTCTCTCTCCATTGTTAGGTGTTGAATTGAGAAGCTCAGAAAATTCGGCGATAGTATTTTCCATCTGTGTATCTTTATATCCTTGTACTTGACAAGAGTTCAGTTTTGCTGAGATTTCACATTTCTTGTCTTCGTAGAGTTCATTAGTCATTTTCTCTAGAACAAAGCAGCCTTCCTTCAACCTCACACAAGCTACGGGCATTTGCAAAAGTCTGCGCTGTGCCTTTTCACAGTCATACTTGACAAGGGGGAAAACACGCCTCCACAAAGTGGGAAGAGCAACATACTTTTCCTCTAGCACAATTTGTCCTGCTTTCACAATTTCCGGACAGCCCCGTTTGCAGTTGTTATGATAACGATCACAGTTCGTTTTCTTTGCCATTACATACTCCGCCAACCCTAAACCCTCAAACAGACTTGCTCGAATTCCCTCAGAAAATTTCTGGTGCTTTATATCAGTTAGATCGCGTTTTTCCTGTTCCCTTAACACACTAATAATACATGTAATACTGTCTGATCTCTCCTCATCTTCCCCCATATGCACTTCTTGCAAATGGGGGACTCCTAGCCCAAAAAAGCTTCCTGATCTTCTACAGATTTGTAAGTAACATCCAAGATCTCTTTGTTGGCGGTGATATCGCTCGACATATTTTTTATCTCCTCATTATGAGCTGAATCTTCTTTCAAGATTTCTTGTTCAGATGGTCCTGTTCCTTCCAAGGATTCCTTTTCCACAGGTTCAGAGGAAATATTCACGACCTCTGCCTCTTTGCCGGTGTTGAGAGCGCTTGAGTTTTTCTTGGCATCCTCGTTTTGTGCTGATGGCCCTGTTTCTTCCAAAGCTGAGGAAACTGTATCTGTTTCTGTGACTGTGGCACTTGCTTTCATTTCATCTTTAGTCTGAACCAAAGACGTGGTTTCCGTGGTTTTTATAGTCACAGCTTGAGCACTGCTTGCTTGCATAGAGAATAATTTCCTGATATCCATGAACTGAACTGCACTTTGAGGCGGTAAAGGTACTTTTTGAACACTGGTTTCTTTGCTTTCATTTTTGCCTTTCACCTTGTGGTACCAATTGCTTTTGGCCTCTTTTTTTTGAAATTCTGCAAGTTGTTTTTCATATGTCCCTTTTTCTCTTAGAAGCTCTCTTAATTCCGTATGAGTCTTGTCGCACAATTGGTAATCTTTCACTGTGTTTGCTTTGCTGATAATATTCTGCTTGTTGGTTATCTGTTTTTTGATCACTTCAATTTCAGCCGAAAGCTCAGTGATCTTTCCTTTCTGTTCCTCTTGACTGATCTTTATTCTCTTAATATTTGCTTGCCCATCTAATTTTGTCGAACGAGAACCAGTTTTTTTCTTAAAAACATAGGTTTGTCGAGCTTTTTCTTCCGCTCTGAGCTTTAATTGTCCTCGGTCATACAAAAGAGTGTTATCTTCCATAGCTAGCTGTAAAGCACTGCCATTCACTGCGTTTTGCCAATCAGTGAGCTTCGCTGCTGGGTTTTTATGGCCAAAAATCTTCGAATGCTCTTTCACAAATCCCTCATCAAGCTTACCAGTCCTTGGTGAATCGACAGTAGCCGGCTTTCCAGAACTCACTTTCTCTTTTTCCTCAACATCACAAACACCATCGGCAATTGCAACCGTTTCACTCGACCTTTTACTAGTTGGCTTTAGATTTGCAAAAGCGCTCTGAAATTTCAGTCTCAACCCCACGGCAGACACTATTTCTTTTATGGATTCACTATTAAGCATCACAAAGGCATCCCCATCAATGTCATTCTCTGCAATGTTTCACAGTGAACATGGAAATTAAAAATTTGTTTTTTCTACATATTGCTTGGGTATGACACAAAATCTGATACAATAAAGTATGGTGAATAAATAAGAAAGAAAATCTTAATATGAGGCAAATACAGTGTTTGCCAAAAGAGTTGCACTTCTTATGTATTTGTAAAATATTTACAGCAAACAAATTTCTCTTCCAATTATCTAATCTTGTAATGTTTGGGAAACCTTGTCATAGAAAACGCGACAATTGATGTCCTCCGAACTTTAGTACAGCCCGAATTATATTAAAATACGCACATATATAAACTATATTATTTCCCTATGCAGAAAAGTTTGAATGTTTGCGTGATATCACAGCACTTATTATCTTATAATAATAATAATAATTTACTAATTTACATAGCGCGTATTTACATGTGCTGATCAATAGCGCTTTACAATCATATGTTCAAAAGAAAACGAAAATACATTACCGTGAGAATGTTGCGTAAAAAATGTCATTCTTTTTCTAGATACTTTTACAAGCGAAGTAAATAATGGATGTAGAGATCAAAAATGCTTTGAAAGAATCCAGGCTGCGCGAGAGCACCGCAAAGTATTTGCACAATGTTTTTTCACAGCACATGAATGACAGAAGGACTGCAGAAACGCATTCAGTGGTCGAACAAAATCGTCATAAATACAGCACAGCAAATAATTCGCATTCAATATAGTAAAAGCTGAGAAACACTGTAGGCGTATTTTGTACTACGAACAAAACTTTCGTGCAAAGTGACGGAAATCGCTGCTACAACGTCACTGAATACTCACTGATGCTCAGCTTTTCTTCGTGTGTCATGCAACATACGTTCTATAAAAAGAATCCCACCCACTGAGATTACTACATTCCATAAATACGATATTTATGACCATTTCATAGACATGCATCATCGCTCACCTTATTAAGTAATGGTTCGCGTAAAAACTACCGGGAGAACAATAGGCCAAGTGCAGCAGGAGCCGTTTGGGTTTCCGGGCTGATCCAATTATTTCTTGCGTTTTCATTGGTTGATTGGTCGTTTAGCGCGAAATTCAAATTGAAATGTAAAAATGCTGGATTTCGGTAGAGACTTTATGGAGACAAAAAACAGGAAACTGTAATGTTTTGATCCTTCCGCTCGTGTGCGAACTTTCGAGAAGATCGTATGTGTGGAAGGTTTCCAAAATACCATTTTAGCTTGCTTGTTGGATAGATTCAATAATTTGATGCCTGATTTAGACACTTTTTGCCACCTCGTTTGAAACAAGATCCACAACCACTGGGGATTGACAACGAAAACACGTGTACATCACGGCAGGACAGCGCACTCGATTGATCACGTCTCCAGAATTCTCTCGCTTACAAGTCTGAAGGAGTGTTTTTATTACTTTGCAAAATGACTGACCGGTAAGGAAACATTATTTTTCAATACAAGTTACAATAGGACGAAGATTTCTTACTTTTTTTCTGTCTTTTCTGTTAGAAAACGTCCCTTGTCGTCGCCTTCCGCTGGAGAAGAAGCTCTGCGTGCAAAAGTGGCAAAAAGTACGACCTCGGTAAGCAAGAAATCGTTCAAACGCTTCGCTTTCAAGGCTCCATCATATTTGATATCCATCAAAAATAAAACTAGAAAAGTCAAATATTCCTCATTATTATTGCCTGTTGAATTTTGTGTTGTGATAATATTTTCACTACTTGCGGTATTGTTATTTTGTAGAAAGCCAGCCTAATCCGCTTGTACGGGAATAACTATAAGTCCAATGGCAAAATACGTACGACCCAAGAAATAATGAACGGCAAAGCTTTCAAGGCGGTTGTAGGAATGCTTCATGTGGCCGAAGCGACAGCGCAAATATACGCCATCGATTCTTTTGCTGCGGGCGCGCCCATTGACCACGTGCGGCTGGCAAACCTCCAAGTAACCGAAGAAAATTTTAAAGCAATACGGAACTGCATTGAAAAGAACAAAGACCACACGCTTCGGTCGATACGAGACGAACTGGTAGTTTTTTCCTACAATCAAATAAGATTTGTTCTGGCTTGTATGATCAGGGATTTGACCCTGTAAGTTCTTTTGCATACCGGAAGGCAAGGAAGGTTTTTCTTGTATGACTTCCGGTTTCATAGATGTTGCTATAGGAACACTTTTGGCTAGGGTTAGAAACAGAACCAATACACCTAGTTAAGAAAAGTTGTCACTGTGAAAAGCAACCTAAAGGTAACCGGGAAGCTGGATAATTTCCTTCTGAATGTTGCATAAATTGTGTTCTAAAATGTCCCAAACAAAGGAAACGTCTTGATTAGATTGCCAGTGCTGTCCACCCAGAATTCCTATCAGTGAGATCATTCATGGTTTTTGCTTTTCATGAGTCAACGTTACTTCAATTAGGTGTTCAAATAATCTTAGGCCAAAGGATATTTTCGTATATATATATATATATATATATATATATTTTTTTTTTTTTTCCAAATGTTTGTTTATTTCATTCACTTGTTATGAAAAATCATCCTTCATCACTATGTACCTTTTTATACACAGTGGCGAACAAGTATAAATTATTATGTAAAAATATTGAAATATAACCCGTTTTTTGATTGATAAGAAAATCAGTGTTTTTATGACAAATAAAATCCAAACTGGAGCATATGCAGTCCTTCCCTGCTTGTATACCTCTTACTTCATGAAAGATCTACAGTTTCTCACGTAATAGTTTATTGCCTGCAACTTTCATATAAGTTTTTGAAATCATGTCACTTGACAAAAGTGACAAATAACAAACACTAACCTTAAGTGCCATCAGTTATTGTTTCCATGACAAAACATTTGTATGCCAAAAATGACATTTTTGAACATCACTTCCCACCCCCCCCCAGCCGCAAAAAATAATGAGGCAAAAATATTATTTTCCTCAATAATTCAAGAGTAATAACTGTATTCTTCAAAGCTGTAAAAGATGGCATGCACCCAGCAAGAGTTCTTACTCAAAGATGGACCATCAGGGTTTTTATGAGGGGGTGTGGGAGGGGTTTTTTAGGCAATTACCACAAGTAAAAACTCATGAACAGCAAAAACTCGTGAAAAGCCAGCTACGATCAAATAAAATCAAATAATCCAAAAAGAAATATTTGTACAACCTGAAAATGAAAAAAAAAAACAATAAATGCTAAGAAACATTGCCAAATGCTACCCCCTTCTCCACCCCTCACTCCTACACAAAATATAAACAGCAATCCATAATGAGGTTCTGTCTACACACAATTCTAGTGACTGACAACAAAGGTTTTCTTAGGCAGGTGACTTCTGCCATGTAGTAAATAAAAATGCTGCCATTGGCTAGCTTGCATATTATACAGTACTATAGAAAATGGGAGTGACAGAACAGGCTCTCAAAGCGCATTGCCATGTCTCTCGGAACATAGTTCTGACCCACTTGGCTAACATCCTTGTACACTTTGAAGGGCAATAAGCAATCATTGCTCCTACGTTTACATGCCTATGTGAGTCCACTATCATACATGATCGATCTTTATTTACAATAAAAAGGAAACTTCTCCCTCTAGTGACCACCACATTGCAACTGGATGGTGGGGTAGACGTACTCAACATTTCCATTACTTCTGCCAATTGATCTTCGCAGTCGCTTCCAATAAGATCAAGACCTTGTCCTATGTACTGAACAAAGCATTCTGTCCCTGCCATTTCCACAGCATCTTCCACGGCCACATCCACTCCCTCTCCTTCGCACAATTCATCATGAATTTTATTTCCCTTTTTCATTGCTTTGTACAGTGCAGACTTCCACTCCATTGAAAGAACACTGTGGAGTGGAGGTGGCAACTTCCAATGGAGGTAGAGGTGTCCAAAGTACAAGGCAATGAAAGTACAAGCATTACTGCCACTTCTTCCTCCTAAAGTTGACTGGCAGAAGTCTGCTGGGAAGGTCCACTGTAATATGTCTGTTAAGCCGGGAACTGTGTACCCTGTAATTACACCAAAGGGGGCTGTAGCAGAACGTGAAGTGTTGTTTAGAACCAGGGTAGGCTGTATAGTTGACTGGGACACAGTGGTAGGAACTGTTGAGGTATGGGCACACACAGGGTTAGGCTGCCGTCTAGGCACAGGAGTGGGCTGCTGTACAGATGTTGTCGAGCCAGGGACAGACACAGGAGCGGGCTGCTGTACAGGAACTGTCGAGCCAGGGACAGAGACAGGAGTGGGGTGCTGTACGGGAACTGTCAAGCCAGGGACGGAAATGGGGGTGGGCTGCTGTACAGGAACTGTCAAGCCAGGGACGGAAACAGGAGTGGGCTGCTGTACAGGAACTGTTGAGCCAGGGACGGAAACAGGAGTGAGTTCCTGTACAGGAACTGTTGAGCCAGGGACGGAAACAGGAGTGGGCTGCTGTACAGGAACTGTTGAGCCAGGGACGGAAACAGGAGTGGGCTGCTGTACAGGAACTGTCGAGCCAGGGATGGAAACAGGAGTGGGCTGCTGTACAGAAACTGTTGAGCGAGGGACAGAAACAGGAGTGGGCTGCTGTACAGGTACTGTCGAGCCATGGACAGACACAGGAGTGGTCGAGCCAGGGATGCTTGGAGACGGATTACTCCTTTGCAAATGACATGCTTCCTCTTGCAAGACATTCAAAGTTTGTTTCCTTTTCTGATGGTAGGTACTCCACCAGCTGCGGATTTGTGTCTCTTTAAGGACTTCTACACCCCGGTCTCTCATACATGCAATGACATCTTTTGGATCGGCTCTGACACCACTTGATGCTTGTCGGTTGTAAAAAGATATCATTATTTCTTTTTGAGCCAAGGAGAAAATTACTCTCTTACCAGAGGATTTCTTTAAAGCATATCCATTAGATGGCTGCAGATTTGTGGTAATCCTTCCACTCGGAAAAAAGGATGGGGACTGTAGTGGCTCAGGTGCATGGTTTATAAAACGTACACTATATACATCCTGGCTGGAGAGACTTTGTAAGCCCTCTTCTCTGGTTTGTGGTACTGGTAATTGCGAAGAGATGGAAGAGCCTGTTGAGCCAGCCATGGGGGAATTTCTTGTAGTGATCTTTTGAATCTGAGCCTTTGTCTTTTTGACAACTTTGCCAATACCAGCCAAGGAATGTGCGATGATGCCCCCAGCAAATTCTCGTTGAAGAGGAAATATGAAGTTCCCAAATAAGGAAATATCCTTGAAGGTGCCCATTTTCTTAGGAGCTCTACTTCTTTCGGTGGACAACTGGAAACACGATACATTCTTCATGCTCTATTTCAAAAAGAAAGAAAAAAGAAAAAAAAATAACAATGTGCTGTGTATATCAAAGCTGACTAATATACTTTTGTTCCTTTACTCAAAAAGGTGTATCTATCATCACCTGGGGACAGTCACCCCTTACTTTGAGTTATGTTTACCATTTTTCTCTGCTATGTCATCATTATTCAGCCTGTGTACTTTTTGTTATAAATTATTTTGAATTGGATAGAGGGGGCATTGAATTTGGGTTGCTCAACTTAGGGACAGTGCTTATTGGGCCCTAAATAAGGATATGTGCCTATTTTATATTAAGGAGCTTTTTAGAGTGACCAAATATTACAAGGAGGCTCCTAAAGTGAATCACTACAATACCTGTGTAATGCCAGCAAAAACCCCCGGGGGGGGGACTCCCATATGAAACAGACGGGGATGCTCGTCGGAAATTTTGAATTTAACCCCTAAAGGAGACCAATCTGGGCGTGGCTTAAGCAAATTTTGACCCCTAAAAGAGACCGCTGAAAAGAAAATTTGATTTCTGTTTCTCTTCCCGTAATTCTGTGTTTCTTCGCAGAACCCCAAACAAGACCTTGCGACTTAAAATATTGACGCTTTGCCCGGAACACCCTAAGCGAGACCAAAATCCAAAATTTACACCCCTAAGCGAGACGACGAGGATCCCCGTCTGTTTCATATGGGAGTCCCCCCCCCAGGCAAAAACCTAAGTTCCATTTTTGATTATTTATGAAAATAAATATGCTGCTCAAGTATTAAAAAAATTAATGAAATATGTGCATACAGTGTAGCAAAACATCAGAAGCCATATTCACTATATGTTCTTAACTGCATTGAATTTACCTGCACAAGCTGTCCAAGCTCCTCTCCAGTTTCCAGATCATTGCCCAGGCGAACATATCACACAATTTTGTGGGATATGTGGGCAAAGTGGGTGTCAAGAGACGTCTTCCCTTCCCCAGCTTCAAAGTTGTTGTATTCCAACAAGCTCAAGTTGAATACTTCATTAACCTCACTTAGGTATGTTAGAACTGCAGTGTTATGATAATGAGGACCATTGTCTGTGGATATAATGTATAATAAGTGTTAGAATCATTTTTATTGCATTATAAAAATAATAACGTATTTGAAAGTGGAATTAGATGTTGATCTTCCTGGCATTAAAATATATACATGAAGAGAAATAAAAAAATAAATGCAGTATTAGATCGTTATAACAAACGAAGAAAACCTGACAATGCAGTTCTGCAACTGGCGTCTTTCCACACGTGATTGTTAGAATGTATTTAACCTAAACAAAGAGCCAAATGTGCCTTATTCTTGTTGTTCAAAATTTACTCCCATAAGCCTTGAGAGCTCTTTTCAAAACCCAGTTAACTTTTAAGTTAAATGTTTAAGAGCCATTTTCTGAGAAAATCGAGAATCGCAAGACACTCGTCAAAAAATCGAATTTTTTATTATTTTGCCAAAACATCCCTTTTAGTGACCTAATTTAAGGAAAAATAGTTTTGGGTTCAAACGATTCATTTTAAAGCAGAAATTAAAAAAAGTTTGAAAAATCGATTTTATTCCTGTTTTTCGAACAAAACACGGCAGGATGCAATGGCAACTTCGAGAGAAGGGTGAACGCGTAAGAAACATTCCCTGACACTGAAACTTCACCGAATTATTATTTTGTTCTTACTCTTGAAAACCTTAAAAGAAAATTTGAAAAACAATGTCTTATATTTTTATAATCGACAAGTGTAAAGAGGTCATATTTGTGACGTTAGACGTGCTAGAAAATGAAGGCCAACTTTGACTATTAAAAAAGGCCTCTGGTATATGCCGCTTGATCATAAAATCAATATAAAATAGAACCTTGGCTTTTGTACTAACTTACTGGAAAGTTTTAGCTCTGGAAATCAAATACCATCCTGACACCAAAGCAAGCGGTGAGAGCAATTGAATTGGGAAATTTATGCAAATTAGACGGCTTGCGGACGGTTGTCAAACTAAAATAAAGGTTTTACATGAAAGGATTACTCACCATTGCTTGTAACACGTTTTTACGGCAAGGAAAGTTATTTCCAACTTCTGTTGCGTCGGTTTGAGTCACAAAATCCATAATTTTAAGCCAAAAGGTCCAAAAGACAAACGTACGTTTGCTCAGCGACAGCGCCAGAATCCGGCCGTGAATCGAAATGAAGTCACAACACGTCACTGCGGTCCCTTAGAAGCAAGAGTTGCAAGAGTTTTTACTTCAGTCAAGAGGCCAAAAGATTGAAAATTCATCGCAAACTAATGACTTCGATTTTGAAAACCTTTCATCACTTCGATCGTTTGCCGGCTGATAATAAACATCGCACAAGATCGTATGACCTTTGGCGTGTGACCGGAAATCGGTCACACGCTTAAGTCACGTTAGCATACTGTCACGAATTTTAATACGATTTTTCACGTTTGCTTTCGACAAAAAATAGACTCATCTCAATAAAATCAGGCCTGCTTTATTTATTTATTTTTTAATTTCTTTGATAGCCTGCAGAACTTGTTCCCCATGCATCGCGCGTGTCTCGCGCCCCCAGTCCGCTTCGCAGTGCTAGCGTGAAAAGCGCAAAAAACTGAAATTGACTCCTGTTCTGCAATTGATTTCTTTTATAGACACCTTCTAGGCATTGACAGGCTGTGAAAAAAGTGTATTTTTTATTACTATTATTTTTTGAAGTGCTACGTCCTTTTCCTATAAATTTCAAACGTGACTGCTAAAAGACTGTTTGGAACCCATGGATGGAGAAAAGCTGTTCCGGAGAGAAGGTCAACCTTCCCGCCGAGCCAACTTTTGCGAGTGTTTATATGAGGAAAAAACTGACCACTTTGTCCGAGTCAACAGTGCTTGCGCATGCTGTCTTTGTCTAGCCTTGACCGTGTTGTCCCAGCTAGCTGGGCGAGCCAAAGTGGAGAAATATTAGCCGGGCTAGAAGGGTGAGGCCACCACTACCGGCTCAGTGGAGGGCTGACTTCCGGAAGCCCTCAACCCCGCCCACTACTGGTAGTAAGGCGTCTATCCGAACCAACCTTTTGTTTCTCATGTAAATGGCTTGGCAGGTTTTGTAAGGAAATGGAGGAAAAGTTGGCTCGCCCAGGGTAGCTTGGGAGGTGAGTAAACACCAGATAACCCCAATAATAAGCACAAACTTTGATTGTCAGTTAGATGTCTACTATTTTAAGTAAGTCACCTTGCATGTGATTGTCGCATCCATGCCCCCTTCCAGATCCTCTTTATTATCGGTAAGCCTCTGATAGGTCAAAGTAATACAGTCGTACCTCCAGTAAGCGACCACCAAAAATGCAAAGACTTAGTGGTCCCTAACGGGAGGTGGTCGTTTAGAAGAATCGGACCACATGGGGTCTATTCCGAGAAGAGGTCCAGGCACATTCTATTAAATGGCGGTGTAACAAATTCCTGGCAAAATATTATCTTTTACCTCTTTTGACAAATACAGCTTTTAAATCATGCTCAATTTAAAGAGAGATTCAGGTGAGTGAGATATAGAATAGTCTAGAATCACAACAGTATCTTCACTTTGTTGGCTACATCTACTAAGTTAGGATATTTGTAGTTCCACGATGTCACTAAAGGTCTTCATATTTTCTAAGGAACATAGTGCACACAGCAAAAATAGAGAGCAGAGAATGCGTCAGCTGGTCGCTCATGGAAAACAATTAACCGTGACGCCCAAAAAGTGGTCGCAGTCACTTACTGGAGGTTCCAACTGTAAGGCTTTGACTGGGAAAATTTGGTCTTTTGGATTGGCGGTCGCACATGGAGGTTCGACTGTGTTAGGTCTATTAGAGTATAAGCCACCATCACCTCACTGTGAGTGACGAGAGCCAGGAAAGTATAGTATACACTCCCTTAGGATACACAGAATCATTGTTTTGAGGTCCCGTTTAGCGAAATGGATCATTCAAGGGAGGTGCTGAAGTCCCATAGTGAAATTTATAAGGTTTATGGGTTTTTAGTGCAAGACGAAACACAATACTTAGGGCCCTGTTGTTCAAACGTTGAACAACAGGAAATCACTATCAAGCGAATAAGAAGAAGCAATTGCGTTACTTATTGGATATAGATTTATCCAGGGGAAAGCGTTAGTCCCGGGGGCGTTAGTCAACTTTTCGAACATACAGCCCCTCAGTCACTCTCCTCCGCAGACTTACCCTGGGCGACCAGGATAGGGGAATATAATACTCGACCTTCCTTGCATCATCGCGAGAGCCTATAGCCTTCACTTTCTTTTGGCTCGTCCTACAAACCTACCCAACGTTCGTGGGACAGGAAGGTCTTCTTGCGAGGCTTGGGAATCTAGGGAGACTATGGTAGCATGGTGCAAATAGCCGGGATGAGCTACTTTGTCCCCCCGAACCGAGAGGATTGGGTCTGCTAGAAGAAATCAGGTGTAGCTTTCTGTGATAAGTAATATTCCAACAGTATAGGATCATAGTTTGAAGCCATTTCACAATCACTAGTTTTCAAGACCTCTACCCGGCGAGTTGTGGACAAAAGCAGCTGATAGCTGTATGCGAACCTTTTTTCCACAAAATGGTTTCTGGGGTTTTCGTATTCGACAGTGTCATGTATTGATTTTTTTTAATCTTAGTCGAGGTCTTTTTAATTATGTACTGTCTATCTGACTGACTGTTTCTTTTTTTGTTTTTTTTTTTCTGGTAATAACAGGTTTCATAATTTGGTCCTGATTGGGGTTATAGGCCCTGATCGTGAGCAAATAGCGAAAAAAATCAACAAGCAAAACCAAAGTGAACTATAGCGTTGAGTCCGTTGGCCACGGAGAATTGGTATTATTCTGCAAGTTCTTTACTACAGCAAGAGAGTATACTCCGTTGACTATGGGACAATGGGTCGGGGAACTTAGTATTTTGACCCGGCATAGGGGAGGAGGGGAGGGGGAAGGGGAGGGGGTACTCTGGCCAGATTCCAAGTCACGGGATGATCGAAGTATGTTTTTTTCTTGGTTTGAAAATATTTTGAACAAATTTTTAATTTTTAGCTGTGGCTTTACTTAAGTATTCAAAATATTCGTTCTTTTTTGGTCTTAATTTTCGCTTCCACGGATCACTCACGACACTTGGAATCCGAGGTACCCCTCCTGTTTAGTACTTCAAGGCAAAAAGCTGTTTCAAAGCCTAGTAGGTAAATAAAAGAAAAATAAATATGCATGGAGGTTTCTACTGCGATGAGACGATTTCTTGTCAAAAAATGTGAAAACTGTATTAAAATTGCTGACAACAGCTACGAAAATTTCGTGACAGCATGCTGACGTGACTAAAGCGTGTGACCAATTTCCGGTCACACCAAAGGTCATACGATCTTATGCGATGTTTATTATCAGCCGACGAACGATTGAAGTGATGAAAGGTTTTCAAAATCGAAGTCATTAGTTTGCGATGAATTTTTATTCCTTTTGCCTCCTGACTGAAGTATAAACTCTTGTAACTCTTGCTTCGACGTGTTGTGACTTTATTTCGATTCACGGCCGGATTCGGACGCAGTTGCTGAGCAAACGTACGTTTGTCTTTTGGCTAAAAATTATATTGTGACTCAAAACGACGCAACAGAAGTTGGAAATAACTTTCCTTGCCGTGAAAACGTGTTACAAGCAATGGTGAGTAATCCTTTCATGTAAAACCTTTCTTTTAGTTTGACAACCGTCTGCAAGCCGTCTAATTTGCATAAATTTCCCAATTCAATTGCTCTCACCGCTTGCTTTGGTGTCAGGATGATATTTGATTTCCAGAGCTAAAACTTTCCAGTAAGTTAGTACAAAAGCCAAGGTTCCATTTTATATTGATTTTATGATCAAGCGGCATATACCAGAGGCCTTTTTTAATAGTCAAAGTTGGCCTTCATTTTCTAGCACGTCTAACGTCACAAATATGACCTCTTTACACTTGTCGATTATAGAAATGTAACGCATTGTTTATCAAATTTTCTTTTAGGATTTTCAAGAGTAAGAACAAAATAATAATTCGGTGAAGTTTCAATGTCAGGGAATGTTTCTTACGCGTTCACCCTTCTCTCGAAGTTGCCATTGCATCCTGCCGTGTTTTGTGCGAAAAACGAGCATAAAATCGATTTTTCAAACTTTTCCTAATTTCTCCTTTAAAATGAATCGTTTGAACCCAAAACTATTTTTCCTGAAATAAGGTCACTAAAAGGGATGTTTTGGCAAAATAAAAAAAAATTCGATTTTTTGACGAGTGTCGTGCGATTCTCGATTTTCTCAGATAATGGCTCTTAAATGTTTCTGGAAGCCCATGAGCTGGTGACAGATTGCAAGAGTAGTGCCTATCCCTTAAGATCACTGAAGTATCTGGATCAGGTTTTACGTACAGTATGTACATGTATAGAGCGTTTTAACGTGATGTCATGGCGGCCATATAGGTGTCTCAAAACAATGAGACGGCAGTCAAGATAGTGTCCCACACTAATCACGGGGAATTGAACTCTTCTCTCATGTAAACACTTTCCTTTGTTCCAATAAAGTTACACAGCTGCTGGTCAAGTGAGTGAAAACACTATATGTTGTAGTTCAATTTTATCCTTGGTTCAACTTTTATTTTCCCTTATTTTCTCTGTGTTTTTTGTTTAATATATTTTAATAAATATATCAAAGAAAGGTGAAAAATAAACCAGTGAAAAAATGAAATTACAACATATATATAGTGTATGTAACATTTCACTATTTAATTTATAGTGTATGAATGTAACATGTAGTGGAAATAAATTGCACACATACCAGAAAATAGATAAACAGAGAATCCTGGGAAGGCCCTCTCAAGCCACGTAAAACAGACATCTAATGCACTTTGGGTAAAGAAGGCATCTTGTTTGGTATCTTCTGACCACAAGTCAAACACCTCACAGTTTTTTTCGTTTTCTCCAATCTGTGCAACAATGTAACACCCATGCAGTGATATCCCCCTCTTCCCATACCAATCACGCTGAATCTCACGGGTCCTTTTCCCAAGTTCCAATTTCATCTTATAGTCAATGACCATAACGCACTCTCCAGGCTTCAAATTCTTCAAAACAAATTTGTAGTAGTCACCTTGATGTTTGGTACGAAGAAGGTGACCCAAATAGTCAAAGTGCACCTTATACACTTCTTCTAGTCTGGCTTTTAAATCATCCTTGGCAGAAACATCACTCATGGACTCAATTGATTGCATAAGGGAACTATGCACATCATAAATTAGAGAAATGTCAGTTAGAACTGAGCTGTGCTCTTCTGAACAGGAATCAAACGCATGTGACAAGCAAAGTTCGAGGCAAGGAGAATGCTTATGAGCAAGTTTAGGGAATGTTGTCTTCAAAAATTTCTGATAGCGTCTCACATCCTTGGAGAGGGCTGATGCATTGACATCAGAGCAACTGGATGACACCTCGGAGATGATAGCACAGAGTTCATCAAAATTGGAGTATCCAAAATCATCACACAAGTTACACAGACCTGCCAACATGGTGTTCATTCGAAAATTAATTGGCAGGTGTGTGTAAATGTAGGTCCTTTTCACTCCATTAGGGAATTCCAGAAGGTACTGGTTAATAAGTCCCTTGACTGTATCTTGCCAGTACCTCACAGCTGTCTCCTCACCTTCAACCAAGACACTCCGGCATGACGATGGCCTTGATATATCATCTCTATGGAGAAATTCGCAAAGTTCCTTTAACACTTCGGAACTAACACATTGACGGGTAAATTTGAATTTGTCCATGGGGACACCCCCACGTCCAAATAAAATGCAATGTACCCTTGCGGCGGTGACCATTTTCGAAGAACAATTGAAGAGTTTTTCTAGTACTGAATATGAGTAATCTGTTGCAGCAATGGACAAAAGTCTTCTCTTTTCATCAGAGTAACTTCGAATCCTGCCAAGATCTTTAGCTGCATCAACGCGCGATTTGAAAACCTCTGAGGTTGCCCCACTCAGAGAAATTCTACTGTCCTTCACAGTCTGTCCAATCAAAATTTTCTGGGTTTGCTTTGCTGATCGAAGTCATACCGCTTTACTCAAATCTTTGTCCTTGCAGCGTTTGTATTCAGTTGCAAGGTTAGTGAGGAAGATACTCTCCTGGTCAACCTTGTTGTCGCAACTTCCAAATGTGGACTTCCACTTTTTGCAATTCAACAAATCGTTCACAAATTCAGGTATGTCTTTCGCGTTATAATGCACAAATTTGTTAGCACAGTCTTCAACAACCTCGATGGTCTTTGACCTCATAACTTGCTGAGTCCTTTTTTCCGCGTCCTTGTACGGTCGTAAAGGCAGTTCCAAAACTCGCACATGTTTGGAGCTGGAAAACGAAGGTAGACTGCTTGGTGAATATTCGGTGTTGTCAATTTCACCTTCGCCGACAACTGGTACATCGCACATATCTTCCGTGGTGGACTGACTGGCTTGTTGATCCTAAATAACAAACAGATAAAATAAATAAGTAAAAAAAAATTATCACGTATTCCATAAACTAACCTAAGAGACGTAAGTTTATGTGTGCGAAAAAATCAGATACAAGCTTGTCGAACGACAGATATGTGTGAAACATGAGAAAACAAAACATGGCAATTGCAGAAGTATAAACGTACCTCGAGTCGCATGCACTTTATTTCGGCAGCAAGTCTTCCACGGCAAGCTAAACATATCTTTCTTTTTCGGCCTTTGTTCTTCGAACTATCGACCTCGCAAAACCTTAGCTCCTCAGGATCTGCAATTCGTAATGCATCAGGCGATACATTTCCATGGCTCCAGGTGCTGTGTTTCGTGCACACGCAACGAGCGGTGAACACCATTAGAACAAAAAATGTACTCGAAAAAGTGAAGATACCAGCGGATTTCAAGTTATATACACTATTTACATTATATACACTATTCACAAAATTGCGAAGACCGCTAAACGACGAAATTTTTTGAGAGAAAGCAGTACGTGAAGATCCAGTAACAATGGCGGCCATTCAAGTCAGAACAAACTTAACTTCGGAAAACCGACTTCCGCACATACGAATCGTCCGAGAATTGGCCGAGAGTTGGAACAATAAGATATCTACCATAAAAGGCATTAGTTTCGGCCCAAATCGTGATTCTTCGTGATTTATCGTAAAAATGATGTTTTTGACCAATGAGAGTGGCGGAAATTAATTAATTAATTCAATTAAAATTGATCGTTCTGCACATGCGTTGCGTTTCGCCCCTTTCCTTCTTACGCGAACCATTACTTAATAAACATAAATGCGGCAGGTCAAAGTAATTGACCTCTGTTGAGCTTTTTATTGTTGTACTGTATTGAATCGCCGACATAATTAGGTATTGTGTTTCATTGTAAACACAACTTAATACCTTCATATATTCAAAGCCTGAATCCAATTTTACAAATATCAAAATTTAAATACCTTCAAAAACTGCACAAACTTTGTTTAATCCCTTTTTTTGCAACCAACTCGCCACAAAGGCACAATCTTTCCCTTTGAAATCTTTAACGAGTCCGCCATGATCGTTAGCTCGCCACGTGCGAAGCAACCAGAGATTTCACATGAAATCGAGGCTACGTTCAAATTCCCCACCCCCTAGGCATGGGGGTCAAATGCCCCACCCCCTGGAAGACTCTGATGATCAAATTCCCTCCTCGCTGGGACGGCAAAGGTGTCAAATGCCCGGGGTATGCCCGGGGGGGGGGGGGATGTTGAAGCTTTGATTTGACCGATACATTACTGAGGGTAAAATTACAGTGAATGTATGACGGAAATCGAGGGGAAACCGATTTTGGTTCGAGTTAGCGCGGGTTCCAGTTAGCGCGAGGTTCCAGTTAGCGAGGGTTCGAGTTATCGGGAGTCGACTGTACCCGGGATTTATTTGTATATTGCCCCGCTGCCCTGGGCAATATACAAATAAATCCCTTCCATTTATAATGAGCAATTAAAGTAAATCATACGTGTCCTTTGACCCCGCCAAACATTCTGAGAAAATTTCTCCCTTTAAAACAAATATAGAAATTTCTTCTGCAATTATAGAAAATACAGTAGTATCCCATATATCATACAGGCTATGTGTTCACTCTAAGAAAATTTTAAGTCTGATATCTCGGTGGCCCGTACGCTCCATAATCAACTTATCTGAGATTCCTTTTTCCAGTCCACGTGTTGCGGTTGTGGCCCTCAGACTGTGATTGCTGAATTGGTCCTGTAGGTCTGCATCTTTACACATTTTGCTAACAACGTTTCCAAGCTTGTTATGTCCAACAGGAGTCGATGTAAACCAAACTGCAAAAATTAACAGTGAAAATGAAAATATGAAACAAAACTGAAACTTCTAATTACCGTCTCCGGCTTGCGACCATTAAAACTGACTGACATTTTTATCCTCTTGCACCCGAATTGTAAATGATATATATTTATAGGTATCATACCTTCATCCATAGACTTGTATTTCTGTCGTGGAGTGAGGTAGAATACAATGTTTTCTAAAGTTTCCCACTAACTCTTCCAAATTCAACTCAACTCAGGGGAAAAAGGCTCCTGAGAGAAAGTGTTTTGCGTTAGGAAAATTTCGTCGTCACTATCCATTGCCGCTCTCACAAGTGTACTGCCCCCCCAAAAAATACCAGGACAAAAATAAAAAAACACAAAAGGTTTGAAATTTAATTGTTCTCGGCTTAGCAAACAAACAATGCGCTATTGTTCTCCGTTTCTCACCTAAGTGAGAACAAGTGGTTTGAACAAATTATGATCCATGAAACGCCCTTTCTCGATGCTGTGTGAAAACCTTTACAATACTTACAATGAAATATGTCATTGTCTGCGGACGGATCAAAAAATGACAAACAAACAGATGTCAAAAACAAGTGGCGAATTATTGCCCTGTGAAAGACGACCTTTATGTAACGTACACCTCGTGAATAATATCATGAAATAAGTTAGATAAACCCCTCGAATGTCGGTATTAATCCATATACATTGCTAGGGCCTACAGCCCCCGGGATGTATATGATGGCTTAATACCTCCGTTCTCGGGCTTTATCTCTTACATAGATAACATGCCTTGTGTGCTTTTGCGCACACTGAAAGCGTGTTGTGCTTTTTTGCACAGGGCTTTTGTTTGAAAACTTTAACGGGCTCTTTTGTTCAACTTGCTCATGCTTAATTGTCTCAAGCGTGTCCTCTGAAACAAAAGAAATTGCTAATGAGTCAAGATTGCAAGCATGCTAAGGCGTGTTAAAATTAATTCTTTTGTTTTAAAGTGAAAGCGTGTCATGCGCGTGCTTTCACCTTTAGCATTAAAATCCTGTGGAGGGTCACATATGTTTAAAGAATAAAATAAGCATGCAATTTAATCCTATGTTTATCAAGTCAATTTAATTATGACTAAATATTCATTCAATCCAATTACTGAAATATTCATTCAATCCATCCGAAAACAAGTTCAGTCCTCCAGGTATTTGTGACCTCTCACGCGATAATGTTCCGAACGCGAGCTGTTTGAACGCTGAACGGAACGGCAAGCGAACGGGTGACGAACGGTTAGGGAAGCCGTTCGAAACGGGTACCGTAAATGGATGAACGGCTAATTGAAATTTTCGAACGAATGAAGTTGAATGGAAAAACGGCTAACAAAAATTATTCGAACGGATGAACGGCAAATCAAAATTTCCGAACGGATAAGGTCGAAAGGATCACATAATAACAAGTCATGTAGTAACAGTCAACGCAAAGCCCACCAAATCGCTCAAATTCGCCATTTAGAGCCGCAGAAATGACAATACACAACAAACCAGGTAGATTTACATTGATTTTGAACTTTAACATAGACTTTACTCGATATGTTTACAATATTAAGATTCTTCAATATTCCCATACATTTCTTTATATTTCGAACATACAAACGGACGCACCGCTTCTGTGGGCGCCCTGTGTTTACATTCTTATCAATCGAACGACTTTCGTACCAAATAATTTAATGGTTCGCTTGTGATGAGAAATAAACCTCCAAACTTCAAATAAACTAGTACTGCATTGAAAATCAGTCTTTTTAGAGTGAAGGGAATTTCTTTACTGAGAATAACATCCCTGTTCAAGCGTCTGCCGCGCTCATTTCCTTAATTAAACATAATGTCACGCAAACATTTCGACAATGATTTTTAAAGCAATGATTGTAATACATTTCGCTGCCAGAATGCTTCCGCTGAGTAAGCGACTCTTCTCCTTGTCTTATCTTTGCTCTTCGAGATCTCAGTGCGAACAAAATAATGAATAAACAAACGAGCGCGTGCCAATTTGTCGGCTGCATTGATTTGCATAATTTTGACACGGCAAGAACAAGTCATAACTTCAATTCTACAACCCGTATTGACACAATCTGTGAAAAGATCACTTGAAATGACTCGAACTTGACCGTTTATAATAAAATATTTTCATCATTGAATTCGACCTATTAAGATAAGGTACAACCGAGCAACTTGCACGCAAAAAGCATGCGATTCAATAGTGTCAAGTTCTATTCAAGTGAATCAAATTTCCATAATCTCAGCGGACGAAAGAAAACGTGTTGCTTTGGAAACAGCTCGATAATTTTAACTGTCATATCCAATAAAAATGGGTTGCCTTGGTTACTGCTAACAACTGCTGTCACTTCATAGCCATTTCACACAATCACAAAATGAAGAATTCAACAAGGGAAGATATGGATTGTGATCTCACCGAAAATGTTTCAAGTATCGTCCACAAAGTGCAAAAGTTTTTACAAGTTGGGTGCGGATGTCATCAAGGGTTGAAAGGTGGCCAGTGTGCGGATTACTTCACAGTGGAAACCGTTATTGGCAACCTATACGACTGCCTGGAATTGTCTCATGCGGAACTGGACTTAGTAATCTTGGCAAACCTTCAAGCTTTCACGGCGGCTAAAGTAACCGGGGGGAAAAGAAAAAGAATTCCAGCTTACAGCTTTCTCTATCAGTCTCATCCCATTTGCAAAGAAATGTTTCTGCACATGTACGGAATCAGTAAGTCTCGGTTTCAAAGGCTCTTGGAACATTATCAAAACCATGGAATTTCTGTGCGGGTACACAGGAACAGCAAGAGGCTTCCACATAACACTCTGCCACGGGCCATTGCAGAAGATGTAAAAAACTTCCTAAGCAATTACGCTGAAGAGAATGCTGTACTACTTCATGGGAGAATCCCTGGTTTTAAGAACGAGGACATTGTGCTACTTTCGTCGAGTGAGACCAAAATGTATGTCTGGAACTGCTTTAAAAGTGCTTGTGAGGTGGCCAGTAAGAGGGTTGTGAGTTACACAAAATTTATCGAGTTATGGAAACAATTCCATCCAAACCTCGTCATGGGGAAGCCGATGACTGACTTGTGTTTCACCTGCCAACAGAACACTTCTAAGCTTCTTCGAGCAGAAAAGTCAGAATGTGTTCGCACCCAACAGTACCACTTAAATTCAGTGCAGACTGAGAGAACTTTACAACAAGGCGTGCGATAATGCTAAACGCAGTTTTAAAGCATTAGAGGACAGCGTAGACATTGATGAGCGCCATGACCCATGCTCACTTGACACCACAATGCACAACTCATTTGACTTTGCCCAATAAGTTCATTATGCGAGTAATCCGATGCAACCGGGGCCAATATACTTTAAAACACTGCGTAAACGCGCCATCTTTGGCATTATGTGCGAGGCGATCCCAGAGCAGGTTAACTACCTGATTGACGAGGCCAGCGATGTAGGCAATGGAGCAAACACTACGATAAGATACGTGCATCATTTCTTCGAGCATCACGGACTTGGAGAAACTTCCGTTCATCTCCACGCCGATAATTGTTCAGGGCAAAATAAAAACAATTATTTTGTCTGGTACCTAGCTTGGAGGACAATTCTTCAACTCCATCTTTCAGTTAGATATTCTTTTTTGATTGCTGGCCACACAAAGTTTGCCCCTGATCGATGTTTTGGCATCATAAAGAAATTGTACAAGCAAAACTACATCTCGTCAATTTACGAATTTGCTAACATGGTGGAATCGTCGAGTACTGGGGTCAACAAGGCACAGCTTGGTGAAACACATGACGGAACAGTTATTGTTCCAGTGTATGACTGGTGTTCATATCTTGAACAGTACTTTTAAAGGCTGCCAAACATTAAAAGCTACCACCACTTTCGATTCACCAAAGATGAGCCTGGTAGAGTTTACTTCAAAGAGAGTGACCTGTCTCCCGAACAGTTGCTGATGCTTTTGAAGAATCCTGCAATCCTTCCTCCGGCCTCACGTCTTCAAGCCAAAGTGAATCCAACGGGGTTGAGCCATAATCGCAAACAGTATCTTTTCCGTGAGTTCAGGCAGTTCTGCAAGCCAGGAACAGAAGAACTGGTGGCACCAGTTCCTCAGGAATAAATTCAACAATGGAGACTTCAATACCCAGCAACGCCATAAAACGGCTCCCTTAGGAGCCACCACATCTACGAAAGTCTTGATCAACAGTACGAAATCAAACTTAACAAAAATTAATAGATTTGATACTGAGTAAAGTTTTTTGTGAAAGTTTTTATTCTGAAAGGAGTTTGGTCAGATTTGTTTTCGATCTTGTGCGCGCGCGTCACGAAATTGAGGAAATTCAGAAACACCGCCATTGTTACAAACTGCAAAGCATTCAAAAATCAATTCACACTCGGTCCGATCTTTTCTCGATCTTTTACGCGCGCGCCGCGAAGTTGTAGAGAAGGGAAAGGCTGCCATTGTTACAAACTGCAAAGCATTTTCAAGTCATTTCACTCGGTCAGATTTTCTCGATATTTTGCGTGCGCCGCAAAATTATTAAGAAGGAAAGAACGCTATTGTTACAAACTGCAAAGTATTCAACAGTCCTTTCAAAGTAAAATCACTCGGTCAGATATTTTTCCTCGATCTTTGCGAGCGTGCGTCACGAAATTATAAAGAAAAGACCGCCATTGTTACCAACTGCAAAGCATTTCACATTCATTTCAAAGTAAAATCACTCAGGCCGATTTTTTTTCTCGACCTTTTGCGAGCGCGCGTCATGAAAAAGAATGAAAGACCTCCATTGTTACAAACTGGAAAGCATTCCAAAGTCATAAGCAATACTTTGAAACGGCTTTGGCTGCCATCGTTACAACAGAATGAATTTCGTGTGTAATTATTGCAATTTATTTCACTCACTAAGTACATCGCTTATATTATCAAACAAAGTAAATGCTAAATATTGTGATAGAAATACCTAAATCATCTGCTGGACTCACAAAACTATTTTTTGATCAGAAAGCACACATTAAACTTATTATAATGAACGTGGAGTAGAATCTGGCATCTTTAAAGATTTGCGGGCAACTCGACACTTGGGAATTAATTTTTCCTTTGATAACCCTCCAGGCCTTGGCCTTTTCTTCGCTGTTACTGGCTGGAAACTTACTAAAGACTAATATTTTGCGCGAATTTAATTTGCCACTGTCCAAGCCTCTTTTGTCGTGACTGCCATCGGTATTGCTTTCTGCTAGTTCCTCTTTAATAAAGAAGTGTGTTAGCAGTCTCAAGGCACACAGGTGTCGTTTAGCGTCTTGTTGTGTTAGGACGCGCTGAATTGTCTTTACTCTGGTTGGTGTGACACATGTGCTGATCAACTGCTCGCTGACCTCCTGGGGAGCGGCTTCTTGTGTCTTGGTGGTTTGACTTTCCTCGTGAAGAACATTTAGGGTGTTGTAATCGATAGTGGACAGGTCTTTGTTCCCTCCTTCTGGTTCCGCAGAGCCCTTGGCTGAAGTTTCGCATTCAGGAATAATGGCATTCAGCTGGTGAAATGAAAATACGGTTATTCAACAGATTGTCAACAAAACGTATTTCACGGCTCATTGCAAGAAATTGAAAACTAGAAAAATGAATTAGTAAAGATTGGCAGTTGTCCCTTGTTTGAATCTGGAAGCAATAATAAACTGTGAATATAATGCAATTTTGGAGCATCCAAATCAGGAACATTGTCATTTTTTTCCTACGATTTTCTTACCAAGTCAAATTGATTTTCTGCAGCCTGTCACTCCAGTACCTCGAGATGTCTTTCAAGGTTCGAGACATCGGAACTTGTGATCAGGCGCTCTTCAATTCGTGACACAGAGGCCTGTATGTTCTCAAGGAGCTGTAAAGAGTAAATAATGTCGATTAGAGAAGAATTACAGTACAGCCCAAAAATATTGCATGCGCAAGAAGTGGCGCAAGAAGTGGCGCAAGAAGTTCTTACGCCGAAATATTCTGAAGACTGCGTGTATAAACAAATGAGACCCTACAATGTTGTAAATCTCTTTAAGAACTTCTCGCGAAAAGCTCTTGCAGAAAATATTTTTTGTGTTTCTGAACGGTAATCAAGGAAACTTGAAAGTCGCCTATGGAAGTGAGCTTCGTAAATTTGATGCTGTTTACAACGTGGTAAAACATTAGCGGTATGTTGTGATAAGCACATAAATGATTTTCTGCACCCCGAAATCCCATGTATAAGTTTGAATCGTGTATTCCTCTTTATATTTCAAAGAGAATATTGTTGAATGAAACAGCATAGTCCTGTGCTTGTTTTTGCCGACTCAGAATCTTGCTTGTTTTAAAATTTGGTTTACAATTGGAAGCTGCGACGTTCAAACCATGCTTAAATCTACAGACTTCTTTCTAGTACCTGATAGTGTCTTCAGTGAATACATCTAGACAAACATTACCTTAAAAAAGTTATCCTGCATTTCCACTTGGTTCCTGAGGATCTGAGCGTTTGCTTCTTCAACATTTTCCAATTTGCTGTTCAGTTCGTAGCATTCCTCTGTTTTGGCGGCAAGCTGCTGGCGTTGAACAGAAATGGTGTCTTCGCGATCGTCTCGGTCATCGCTGCTTGTCAGAGATGTGGACTGTGCCTTGGTCTTCTTGGCGTTCTTGGCCTCACGGTTTGACTTCCACTCCAGCGCTCGCTTCTTTTGCTGGACTAGGAATTCCTCGTAAGCAGAAGATTCAGGTTTATTCGCTGAACTGGGCTGAAACAAAGAAAAATAATCACGTCAATAATGTGTATAATACAGTCAAACCAAGTTAAGCGTACCCCTCAAGATTACATTAAGAATTGGTTATTTGAGCCCGTTAGTCGTTTCTAGAATGCAATAATGAAATCACTGTAACGTTAAGTGAAGCCGACTACAGACGAGATTATGGAGACGAACTGCCGGTTTAATACATGTCAGCCATTACAAGATCAGGGAGCACATGCCAATACATCCGGGATAAATGTATAACTTAACATACTGCGCAAGTCCAAACTTGACTTGTCACACGTGATATGCGTGACAATGATACGCGTGACAATATCGTTACATCTCCCTTCGTTTAAATGAAACAAAAGAAACCAAACAAAACAAAACAAAACAAAACACCAATAGCCAAAGGAAGCTTTAGCAATGGTGCAGGAACTAACTATGAAGTTCAACGCTCACTGTTGTGTAACAAACAAGCCCAAAGGAAACTTGGGAATGGCACAGAAACTAGCTATAATGTTCACTGTTCAAAACTGGTCGATAACCAACCAATGCCCTTTCTTCATCGTTCAATATTGAATTCAATTCAATTCAATGTTCAATATCACACTAGACACAGAAGTCTTTCAGATAAGCAGGTTTCCTAACAATTCTGCCACTTCTAGTCGTAACCGAGCAGGATCAGTAACTTCCCTTGGTTGGGCATCCGTTGGCAGACCATTGGTAGGAGGTTGTACATCTGAAACATGAGGCATCCGTGGTGTGGGAGATACAGAAGGCAACCGCAATACAGGGGATGCTGAAGGCAACTGACATGCACCCTCAGGATGTTCCGGCGTAGACAACTTAGTTAACACCAGCTCTTCATCATGGTTTGGTTGGTACCTCTCAGGAACCTTGTAGAGATGGGAACGGTTGCGGCGATAAAGTCGACCATCTTCAGTGCGAACATTGTAGGAGCGCACATCTATGTGCTGATCAACTTGGGCCTTGAACCATTTCGACCGGCGATTAAGGGGTCGGACTCGCACCACATCTCCCTCTTGTAGAGGCTGTAGTACCTTGGCTCCTCTGTTGTAATACCTGGCTTGTTTCAATTTTCTCTCTTGTAACTTGTCGCCCACATCAGGGACCAACTGTGGCTGCAGCAACTGACTAGCTATGGGTAGAGAAGTTCGGGTTCTGCGTGAGAAGAGACGTTGTGCAGGGGAGCTGTCCATCCCTTCCGATGGTGTGTTCCTAAAGTCCAGTAGCGACAACTGTGGGTCACGTCCCGCATCAAAAGCCTTCTTTAGGATTTGCTTTGCTGTTTTAACACTATTCTCTGCCTTGCCGTTGGACTGGGGGTACCGCGGCGAGGTCCTAATGTGTTCAAACTGGTACTGCTCTGCAAACTGCTGGAACTCTTTGCAGTCAAACTGTGGTCCATTGTCTGTAGTAATTTGGTCTGGAAGCCCGTATCTAGCCAGATGGGGCTTAAGCTTATCAATAACTTCTTTAGAAGTCTTAGACGTCAGCACATCCACTTCGAAGAAGTTGGAATAACGGTCAGTGGTAACCAGGTAGTCAAAGCCGTGGAGCTCAAACAGGTCAGCCGAGATGCTTTGCCAAGGCCTTGACGGTATTTCATAGCATATTAAGGGCTCCTTCTGCTGATCTGGTTTGTAACTATTACAGATACTGCACTTTGAGATAAACTCGGTGATTTGCTTGCTCATGTCAGGCCAGAAGAAAGCGTCTCGAGCTCTTCTAAGACATCCCTGAATGCCCAGGTGACTAGCATGAACTTTGTCGATAATGCAATCTCGCAAGGTAAGTGGAACCACAATTCGTTCACCCTTGAATACAACTCCATTCTGTAAAGACAACTCTTCTCTAAAAGGGAAATAGTTCTGCAACTTGGGGGGCACATTTGTCTTGTTATCTGGCCAGCCTTGTTTGATCATAGTGGCTAATGCACTCAGATCAGCGTCCAGCTCAGTTTCAGATTTGATGTCACATAGGGTCGTTTGTCGAATGGGCACAAACTCAGCCATGTTCACATACTCAGTCTCGATCTCTGTTGGTGATCTTTCATCAGCAACACTCCACACATCTTCCTTGGTGTCTTCCTCTTGCTTGAGCAGTGGGAGATACGCCCTACTAAGGGGATCTGCGATGTGCATCTCGATGCCCTTTCTGTAGGTGACCTCGAGGTCAAATTTCTGAAGACGTAACAACATTCTCTGCAGACGCTTAGGTGCACTCAGCAAACTCTTCTTCATAATAGATTCCAGAGGTTTGTGGTCAGTATCAACGAAGACCTTTCTACCATAAACGTAACTCTCAAACCGTTCAACACCGAAGACAATAGACAGCAACTCTTTCTCTATCTGAGCATAGTTAGTCTCAGCTGGAGTTAGGGCCCTGGATGCGCACGCGATGGGGTGTCCATCCTGTAATAGGCATGCTCCAAGACCGCTCATGGAGGCATCACATTGCAGTACTGTCTTTTTGTGGATCAAAGAACTTGAGTACCGGCGCTTGCGTTAGAACCCGCTTTACATCCTCCAGGCACTTTCCGTGGACATCTTCCTCCCAAAGAAACTCATTATCTTTCTTCACAAGATCTCGAAGGGGCTTAGCCACATCTGCCAGGTTTGGTGCAAACTTCTGTACATAGTTCACCATTCCTAGGATTCTCTGGACACCATGCTTGTCAGTGGGGGGTGGCATTTCGTTGATGGACTTCAGTTTGTCCGGATCCACTCCAAGACCCTCTGATGATATCACATGACCCATGTAGGTCACTTGCTTTTGTCTGAACTGCATCTTATCAGCGTTTAGCTTGATGCCCTTCTGCTGGCACCGGTGAACACCTCCTTCAGGTGGCGATCATGATCCCTGAAGGCTTCTTCATCTGTGTCTCCCGATCCAAACACCAGGATGTCATCAGCAATGGCCTTCTGTCCGGGGAGACCTTCGAGAGCGATATCAATTCTCCGCTGGAACTCCTCTGGAGCAGGAGAAAGCCCAAATGGCATTCGAAGCCAACGGTATCTACCCCATGGTGTTCCAAAGGTGGTCGATAGCTGCTTGGCTCATCTAGTTGTATGTGCCAAAACCCGTTTTTCGCATCAAGCACTGTAAACACACGGGCCTTGGATAGCAGCGGGAGTACGTCATCTATTGTGGGCAAGGGGTAGTGATTCCTGTGGAGGGCCTCATTCAGTGGTTTGGGATCAATACACAGTCTTACTTTGCCATTTTTCTTTGTTGTGACCACTACGGCTGAGATCCACTCAGTAGGTGTGTCGACCTTCAGGATCATTCCAATGCTTGACAGTCTGTCCAACTCTTGTTTTAAAGGCTCTTTAAGGGCAATTGGCACCCTCCGAGTGGGTAGCTGAACTGGATGGACATCCTTGTCAATTTCAGGTGTAGTTGGCCTGCAAGTTTGCCTTCCCAGAGAACACATCTTTGTACAGCGAAATGTAGTCTTCTTTCTTGAGATTGACAGGGTCTTCATCGTTTGAATCCACAGCAAGGATGTTGTGTTCATTGATTGTTAGCAATTGAAGGTGTTTGCTGGCCCTTAGACCCAGGATAGACTTGCATGGACTTACTCCACCAACAATGTGAAATTCAATACTGTACTTCTTATTGTTCTTTGGGTTTGTCACCCGGAAGCGTTTCTTGCCCAGCGGTTTAACCTCAGACTGGTTGTACATTACCAGAGTCACAGATGTTTTGTCCAAGTCTTTTAGACAGCCTGTACCACAGAGTCTCTCCACTGTTTTATCTGACATGAGATTTACAGTTGAGCCGCTGTCAAGCTGGAACTTCTCCTCCCCACCGTTGACAAGAAGGGTGGCAAAAATTTTGCTCGCGTGACTGCGGGGGCTAGTGCATTGACTTGCTCTTTCACATCAATCTCTGCGACATATTCGTCATCATCGGAGTCAAAATCCATAAAAAGCACCTTTTTCTTTGATTCTCTGCAACAGACTGCAAAATGGTTTGGGAGGCCGCACTTCTTGCAAGTGTTTCCCCAAGCTGGACAGTTCTTCTTGGCGAAGGGATGCTGCCTAGCTTAAAATTTGCATGTCATTCTGGACTCTCGTGATTCAGTGCGGGGCCTGTTGTCCGATACTCCAGCCTTCTTTTTGCCTGCCGGGTTGACTTTTTTCCTCCTTTACGAGACGGACATCCTCCTGATTCATAGTCTTCAGTTGCCGTGCGGAGGTCTCTGAAGATCTACAAATGTCAATACATTGACTCAAGGTGAGTTTGCCTGCTTGTAGTAGTTTCTTTCGAGCTGAATTGTCATTAATGCCAACCACTATTCTATCACGGATTAGTGAGTCGGCTAGTGTCCCATAATTGCAGGTCTTGGCTAATTTACGTAGAGCAGTAACATAGGCATCCACAGACTCATTAGACTCCTGATCCCTTCGGTTGAAGACATATCTTTCGTAGGTTTCATTGCATTCCCCAATGCAGTATTTTTCCATCTTCTCAAGTATCACGTCTGGCTCTTTCCGCTGGTCTTCGGACTCAAACTCCATTGAGTCAATAACATCTAGCGCATCCGACCCGATGCAGGTGAGCAGGGTGGCCGTCCTTCGTTGCTTGTTCCTATCCGGATTTTCCGGGTCTTTGAGTTGAGCAGCAATTTCGTAGTTCGACCACGCTCGACTGAATCGTTGCCATTTAACAGGAAGATTTCCGCCGCTTAAATCTAACTTTTCTGGTAGCGGGATATTCACTGGAACTGTAATCACCGTGTGATGTGTAGTCGATGAATTCGGAACCGAACCATCACCGCTTTCGCCAGTGTTGTCGCTCGGAGTTGTCGGCATATTGGAGCGATTATATTGGAGAAAGTACTCACAATCGTCTTCGACGGAGGCTACGAGCTGTAATTGATGCCCAGTTTACTCCTGACACCATGTAACGTTAAGTGAAGCCGACTACAGACGAGATTATGGAGACGAACTGCCGGTTTAATACATGTCAGCCATTACAAGATCAGGGAGCACATGCCAATACATCCGGGATAAATGTATAACTTAACATACTGCGCAAGTCCAAACTTGACTTGTCACACGTGATATGCGTGACAATGATACGCGTGACAATATCGTTACAATCACTATTTAAATATAGAACTCGCCAGTCATTTCAAAAATCATCAGTGTTTGGTGTCTATATCTATATCGCGTTACATTGTGCACGTGTTCCATCGCTGTTCGTTGCTGTCGAATAGGCCAAGATGTCACGTCAGACAACACCCGGCCGTTTTGGCTTTAAAAAAGCATTTCTCATAGAAATGCTGTGATGGAAACGAAAGTACCCGATTTTGTTTCAACAAAGTTTTGGTATCGATGTGATCAAACAGCTGAGTCGTTAGCAAATCTAGCTGCATTAATTTTGTTTTAATGAAAGAAGTTATAATGAACTTACCTTTTGGTGGTGTTCCACTCTCTTTTGCGGGCTCTGACTAGCAGGCACGGTGTTCTCTCTCTCGTCAGCGTTCTCTGACTCAGGGCTCACAGCACCAGGGAGGTTCTGTTTAGACAACTCTAAATCCTTCGTGTTCAGGACTGTAATGTCGTCTAAAAGAAAATTGGAATATTGTTAGCACTACATGTATGTGCCAACAATTAATCCAAGCTAATTGAGTGAATGTCTATCGAAGCGTGTGTTTGGCTCGACAAAACCTCGGACAATAATGAACACAGAACCATGAGATATTTTTCCTACAAGTGTTTTAAGAGAAAGTATACTTCTTATTTGCCCTAACAAAACAATAAAATTTAAAACTTACCATTCAAAGCGAGAATCTAGCCTTCCGTTTTTTTTCCGTTCCAGTTGACGATTACCACCATTCCCACAACAAGATCAAGCTGTTTGTCAACAATAACTCGAATTGGCGCGATTCCAGGTTATTCCTTGCCACGGAAGTAAAACAGCGCATTCGATGGGCGGGTGGCTGTCTGTCTGCATAGCTGTCTGATGGACATGATTAATGATAAAAGTACTAACCAGTTGATCGCAACTATCAACTAACAAGATCACTGTGAAAATTGTTTGCTTCTTCGAATCCTTTATAGTGTCTAAAGATCGAAAATCTCAAGGTTTAATTGGACAATTGGAAAACGATTGTTTTCAACTTAGCATATGAATGATTCACGCGAGTTTGTGTTTGCACTGAAATGAGCGGTAAATCTCAGACGGCGGCGGCCCATATGTACTGTTTGTGGAATTCATTTATAAACAACAGGGCCGAATGTGTATGTGAAGTGAAAAACTAAATTTACTGCAAAGGAGTCAAAATATTTATGTAATAGTTCAAAATTTATATTGTTTTGCATTGGTATCATTGTCTATTTTACTGCGTTTCTCAGCTAGTACGATTCCGATCATGGCCACGTGGGAGCCGTTATCAGTCAGTGTTATTTCCAACGTTTGGTGGTATCAAGTGAAGTAATGTGTTTACAGGTCAAACACGACTCATAGGCTCGTGGCGTGACAAGTGACCTTTAGTATAGTGACCTCTCGTTAAAGTTTTGCTCTCACGAGTATATCTATGAGAAGAGTGGAGGTTTTTTTGAATATTTCTCAAAGCAATGGTTGGTTTTGAATTGAATGCCATTTGCTCATCAAGATGTTTTAGAGGTTAGGCAATGCTGGGTGGTTTGTTGTTACAAAAAACAGAATTTTCTTTCGCACATTCTCGGGTTGTTTTGAAGCCGACTTGCGTTCAGCGAATTAACTCTAGCGCCAAACCGATCGTGGGTGTCCGGTCGGGTCAAATCAAACGCAGTAGTCTCTCCCACCGTGTCGATCGAACAAGTTACGGTCCCTCCCTCGCAAGTACTTTGTCGGGAGGGGACGCAGTTGTTAAACTTTATAACACTGTGCCTGGCGGAGCGAAAAGGTCAAGTATGTGCTGATAAATGAGCGGCTTTCATGCAGTTGCGATGGGTTTTGGAAGCCAGCGAGCACTATATGTGGAATCAAGGAATATATGGTTCAGCTGATGGCAATTTGGAGCAGATCGGTCGATTATTCGGCAATTTATTGAGCTTCGCGTGGAGATGGTCCGTTGGCCTTGTAACCAGTCTTCACTTTGTTTATAGTCGATGATACCTCTGATAGCAAAAAGCAGAGAAATGCCGTTTAAACAAGCCTGGACAAACAGGGAGACATTCAGCTAAAGGTATGAAGGCTATGTTGTACAATATTTCGATTTTTAAACACCATTTGGGCTTTTGATATAACACTGACTGATAACGGCTCCCACGCAGCCATGATCGGAATCGAACTAGCTGAGAAACCCAGCAAAATAGACCAGATACTGAACAGGACAAAGAAATAGACAACGATGTCAAAGCAAAACAATATATATTTTGAACTATTACATAAATATTTTGACTCATTTGCAGTAAATTTAGCTTTTCACTTCACTGTTGTTTAAAAATTAATTCCACAAACAGTACGTCTGCGCCGCCTGTGAAAACACAAGCTAAACGAAGCGCATGGTGAAACGAAGAGCCCAAAGCGAAGAAAGTGTCACATCTATCTTGTGAGCAATGTTTATCTTGAAATTAATCTCTCTCGCAAGGGAGAAGTGCTTGGCTTCTTAAGCCGCTACGAACACGTAAGGACCGTAAGGTTTTCAATTTAATAGGAGCTTGTGAATCAAACGTTTTTCCATAAAAAATGAAGTGAGTATCATTTAAGCGGAGGTAAACAAAGAACAGAAGCATGACGACTGTTTGTGTAATGTAAACATGACGGCATGCATCATTTAACAAAGAATGGCAAATTTATTGTTTTGAAGTCGTCTCGTCTTGTCTTCTTGGAACAGCTGCCAAAATAACTTACTGTTTCTTTCTTGAACAGATAGCTCGAGCCGTTCGAATGGCTGATGAATTTTCTTGAACGGAGAGCTCTAGCCTTTCAAACGGCTGATGAATTGTCTCAAATGGATAGCTCGAGCCGTTCAAACGGCTGATGAGTTTTGTCGAACGCATAGCTCGAAAGGTTCGAACGGATGATGAATTTTTTAGAACGGTTAGTTAGAGGCTATCCGTGTAAAAATGGCTAAGCGTTCGGAACTTTTTTGCCTGAGAGGTCACATTTCATTTAATCTTCTTGGGGAGAGCGCGGCCAAACCGAGCCGACTTGGGAAAGAGGGCCAGAACTGATAACTGACAACTATGGTGGGCGTTGATGCTTTTGATTTGGCAAGTGATCTTCCCACGTTTTTGGAGTCTGTTCTTCAAAAAGCAGAAACTATCTTGCAGAATGTTGAGAAGCAAAACCAAGTAGATGCAGAAGTGCTTGCTGAAGTAGTAGACCAATCTCTTTCTTTGATTCAAACATTGCAAGAGCCAGGTGAAATCCAACCATCGAACATAATTGCCTTAAACTCACTTGCAGGTGCAATTACAAATGTACTGGCATTGTTACGGATTCACATCTCTTCCATTGCAGTAACACCAACCACCCTTGCTGCATCCTGTGTAACAATGAAGAGGAATAGTAGTAAGCAACCCGGGTAACTGTCTTTTGAAACTCCCATAGAAATGTTGTAGGAACTGAGAACATTGGGATTTAGTTGGACGAAAATCTCGGAATTACTTGGTGTGTCAAGATGCACTGTGGCAAGAGAGTGGAGGAGTACCGCTTACAAGATATCAAAGGCTTTGACCAGTTACCAGATGAAGAGCTACATAAAATAAGCACGTACATATCAAATCACTGAACTGCAAATGGGCAAAACTATGTTGGAGGTCACTTGAGGTCTCTTGGATTAAGGATTCAGGGAGGGCGAATAAGAGAGAGCATTGGAAGAGTGCACCCCCAAAACACTGCGTTAAGGTGGGGGGGGGGTGGTTTCTCGTCAAACTTACCAAGTTCCATGGCCAAATTCACTGTGGCACTTGGATGGCCATCATTCATTGATAAGGTGGAAAATTGTCATGCATGGGTGCATAGATGGATTCTCCAGGCGAATTATTTTCCTAAGAAGAAACTCAAACAATGTAGCTGACACGGTTCTTGATCTTTTTCGGGCTGTACAAAAAGATGAAAACCTTTGGCCCTCTAGAAAGCGTGTTGAGAAAGGTGTGGAAAAGGTTCTGGTGTGTGATGCAATGGTGCAAGCTAGAGGGGATAATAGGGGCAGCTTTATTGCAGGCCCCTCGTCACGCTCCACCAGTTTCTCTAGCTAAGGTTATTGTAAGTATCAGTTAGCCCAATTCTAAAATATGCTGTCAAAAAAATACCTGAATCTCTGGCTTTTTAAGATCGAGAGCATTGAAAAAATTGGCCATGCGTATAATTTTTTTATGTATGATTACAATGAGGCTTTATCTGTCATTTCTCGCAAAACCTTAAATGAGAGACAAGTCCACCTGTGTCAGGTCTATGTTGCAAGAATCCTTGCGGGGGGGGGACTACCTACAAAACAGTAAAATTTTCTTTGCAAGCCTTGGCAGTCTTCTTAATCAGTGTGGCCAGTTTGCTTTCCACGGCAACTGTGTTGGGGACTCCGCGCTTGAATTCTTCCCTCCACTCAAGCAAAATATCAAGTGACACTAATAGTTTGTCACTGATGTTAAATAACCCTATAGCTCACACTTAATTAACATTTATATATGCTATAAGAGATAATGACTGTTTGAAAGTAAACATGATTAGCTACAGGGTATAAAAATGAATATGACAATATTTGAAGATCTGTACAAGAAAGAACCCAGGGGGTTAATTATGACATATATTACGGTAAAATGAATAAATTAACAGCTACAATGCTTTAAAATTTAAGAAATGGTCCAGATAAGAACGATAGCAACAACGGCAACAAACATGTTGGAATGCAAAAAAGGTGCTAACTTTTCTATTGTCTGTACTTCTGATTGGCTTAAACAGCAAAAGTTAACAAAACGTCATAAAGCAGTACATATATTCATCCTTACTTTCCAACCATCTTCCATATAACAAAATCTGGTCTCAGTTTGAATAACAAAGAAATCCTATGTGAGGAACATGTAAAATTGTAAACTTTTCTTGGCTATTGTTTTCAACTCTTGTGATTGGTCAAAATCTTTGAACACAAACAAACACCCTTTCAAAGTGGAGTGTAAATGCATTTTATTGCGTAAACGGCCTTCATGTAGGTTTATGCGTTCTCTGTGAACATTCCTATGTGGGAAAGCACCGTTGTGGCATAACAAAAGAAATTGCTATCCACCTTACCCGGATCATTACTTAATAAAGGCACATGTTTACAATATTTGAAGATGGTGTAAGAAGAGCTTTGAAAAAACCAGAGTAAATTGATATCACAGAATTCAAACCATGTCTTACCTAAATCATATGGAAACACCTGTACTAATGCTTTACACTTAGGACAGTGCTTTACCAATATTGTTATCTTTTGGAAAGCCACTGCATTGGTGGTAAGATAACCACCATCCCCTGTTTTCTGGCCAGGATGAGGACGTGCACTTGACAGTGACACTCCACACAAAGCGCAAATTTCTTCCTTTGGCTCGTAAACGGAAGGCCAGCCATCCCAACCAAGGCGATATAGAACGGTCTGGCCATCCAGACACAATATATTTTGTAAAATTCCCTTTGGAATGTCATAAGGAAATGACAGCTGCATCTTGAGTTGCAGAGTTGCCTGTCGCCCAGCCACCTCCGAATCTTGAGAAGTTGCGGTAAAAGCTGTTTCATTTGAAGAACTGGAAGAAGCCGCAGATGGACTGGAGAAGGTGACTATTTCATTTGAAGAACTGGAAGAAGCCGCAGATGGACTGGAGAAGGTGACTATTTCATTTGAAGAACTGGAAAAAGCCGCAGATGGACTAGAGAAGGTGACTGTTTCATTCGAAGAACCAGAAGAAGCCGCAGATGGACTAGAGAAAGTGACCGTTTCATTTGGTGAACCAGAAGCAGTTACAGGTTCACCAGAGGACTGAAAAATACACGGCAACATATGCAGATGCATGCATATTTTTTTATGCTTGGCTGCTTTTGTCTTGTTTGCGAAGCGAGCACACTCTGAAGAGGTACACACAAACTTGGAATTTGTGTTTTTGGGGTGGCAAAATCCAACAGAATTTGATGCTGTTGCCACACCACCCACACAAAATGACACTGAAGAAACCTGAAAAACAGCAGGGCCAGTGTTTGACAGTTTCAAGTGATAAGGGGCAGCTTTGTGGCTTGATCACATGGGTAACTATTGATTAATCCATCCGTTAAACTGTATACCTTTATTGGGGGTACTGCCTTGTCGCACAGAGCTGTGTGTTCACACAAAAACAATTCAGCATTGCTGCTGTTCACATATGCAGCTCTGACGTCCTTGCATTTCTGAGCCAAACACTGCTTTACGTTTCGAAACAAGTCAACAATCACAAGGCATCTAGAGTCCTTGGAGTGTGTTTTTACAGAATAAAAGAACAATCATCTCTACTAAACAGTAACACACTCTTGGGAGCATTTAATTTTTGCTTTTTTTCACAGGGGACAAAATCTCCTCCAAGGTAACAATTGCACTGGTCACACTTCTCTGGCTTACAACGGTTGTTGAATGACTTCTTACATCCAGGACAGCAAGTTTGCCCTCGTTTACTCTGCAATAAAGATAATACACAATAAATGCAACTTCGCCGAACCTGCGACTTTAGACCAGGGCGTAACTAATTGATATCTACTCGATGAAAATCGATAGTAATTGATAGGTCTACTTTTTGTGATTATCGATTCTATGATTTCTTTAATTAAACGATCGATTTTATCTATTTTGATAACATAAAACAAAAATAAGTGAAGCCGGGTTGGTTGATTGTTTTTATGTTATACGCAATAACCTTTTGTCAAAAGTTTCACACAGTGAAAATCGAGAACTTTGACCATCACAATTGGAGTGATTGTTTTTTATTAAAACATATTTTTCTTTACCAGGCTAGACAGGTTCTTATATCTTTGGGTTAAAGTTAAATGCCAAATTTCAGCCTTTGGGTTCTTTAGGTGGCTCCACTGGATTTTTTTTGGGGGGATACCTCCCAAATTTGAGCATTAATTACGATGCCATGAGTAAAGATATGGAAAAAAGGTTCCCACAACTGTATTACATAAAGATGAAAATTTCTTATGATTTGGGTTTTATTGCAATCAGAGTTACAATGGCAACGTAACAACGCCATCACGTTTTTTATTTTATCTTTGTGTTTCTCTGTGCCAGGAGTTTTTTTAAGAAATCACTTAAGGGAGTTTGTACCTGCCATAATTGCCTCAGTTATGGGAAAGTTTCAACAAATTCTATTATTTACGATACATTGTGATCCGTCAGAAACAGAATTTTCTCAGTGCAAATTGAATTGCTCCTGCTGATAGCATCCGAAACGTTTTTCAACTCATCAGTAGTCCCCTCGTTTCTGGTTAGGAAAGCATGGTGAAGGAACCGGGCAACTGTGGCGAGATATAGCCGTCGTGTTGGAACTCACGAAAAGAACTCAGGAAAATTGTTCATCGATTGAGCACAATAATTCAAAGCTTTTTTTGTGCCCAATCAGGAGCCAGCATTTGCTTGACCATTTGGAAATGGTCCGATGAGAGTTGGTACCCAGGGGCTCTTCCGCCCATGCTTGAAAACTTTTGTGGCGCCTTACCTCCCAGCTTGACTGACTGCCCCTGGGTTGCAGAGGATGCAGTATAATGGGTGTTTGTGGAAATACACCAACACCATGAAAATGTCATAAAAATCGCATGAATGTCGTATGGAATTAAACTGATATATCTGGGCAATAATTAACCATATGAAACTTAAAAATTACAGAAATAGAAATACCTAATTGGGCTTAAAAAGTAGTTAACATGCCTTGTTTGGTCTTGCCATACAAATAATATTAGGACCAGCTGAATTATTCCTCTGTGTGAAATTTATTCAGCTTAAAATATATACTAAAATACCATTCTTATGTACAGTTTGCATCTTAACATTTGGACTTCTGCTTTTAAAAGCAATATTATTTTCTCAAGATTTATGACAGTGACAATGACGTTTAATGATATTGCTAATTAAGCTAGAAGCTATGGAAAAAGTAAATTTCACAAAATAGAAAAAAGTACATTATCTTGAAATTTATATTCTTTCAGAATCATCAAAAAGGCTTTTGAAGTTCAAATTCATTATCAGCTTATTCTATCAAATGCTCCTTTGATAATGTATTATTTGTATTATCAAATCTTTTTTGTGTTTAAATTACATAATACTTCATTTTTTTTACTAGAAATACTTCATCAATTAATCATTTTCATCAGCTCTATCATCTTAATAGCTTATATTGATTTTCTTAGTAAATAAATTTCACTATAATAATCATATATTTTTGTGAATTTGTTTTAAACCATATGTTTATCTTGAAAAACATATAAACGTATTGTTTTTCAATACTTCCCAGATTTCTGACAAAGTCAGTTCCACTATTGGTAACTAATTCTGGGTACGAAAAAATAAATATATTTACCTGATACTGTGTCCATGTCTTTGGGACACGGTGACTTCATTGTCCCATCCTTTCTTTTAGACAGGAAGGTTATTTTCACTTTTTCTGCATTTTCGATTGATATTATTTTACCTATGTTGCGTGATGCAATTATGTGAAGGTGTCTGGAATCATGGAAAGTACCCTTCCCTTTCAATGAATGATGATATGCACTCTCCAAAGAGTGTTATTGAGAATGAAATTATTCTCTCCAGATTATGAAGATCTTAACCATATGGAATATTTCTACAGAAAGGAGGTTCCAGAACTGCAGTCTGTTGTTCGCGTGTTCCTAAGGGAGCGAGAGAAAGTTCGCAAGGGGTGAAGATTAACGAAATTTCCATTTTCCCTCTTGTACTGGCGACCAGAGGCTCACAAGATGGAGCCACACTGTGACAAGGCTTCAACAGCTATCCAAGAAGGCCAACAGCTCACAGCCATAGTGTATCATCAGTACGCAAGTGAAAGCAAGCAGCACTCACATGACTTCCAAGCACCATCCCACGAAAAGACCCTGTATTGTGTGTTTTAAAGATTCTTTGGTGGAAAAAGACCTGCAGTGACAAAGTTTGGAGTTATTGACCATTAATCTTTCAGCACTTTCTTACATCAATGAAAAGGTGGGCAGAGTCTATGCAGCAGAGAATACTATTCCTCTCCCCATAGTTTCTCATCCCTTAACCACAGCAGTTGATAATTCTGTTATCTGGTTCCTGGATGTTCCACTTATTGCAAGTTAATTACCTGCCTGCATGGTATACAAACGAACAAAGGTCACAGATAAGTTATTTGTGACCTTGATTGCAGTTAATTTCAACAATTATTGATAGCGCAAACATAATTCGTGCCTTGCTCGTTGCCATTTAGGCCAAATTTTTTTTGTTTGCACTAGGCACTGAATAATACTTTACCAGCCTTGTAACATATTGCATTATGTTTTGATTAGAGAAGTTCATATTAGATTCTACAGTAAACAAAGCTGATTTGCTTTATCGCCAGTAGAGTGTAACTGCAATCAAGGTCACAAATAACTCAGCTCTTTGCCTAATGAAAATTAAAAAAGGACAATACGACATGGTGAAGTAAGCTTTCGTGAGTAGTAAATAGTGATAGAACATGAAGCTTTAAATGCACATAGCCAGAAATCGGGAATGGCAAGGGGCGTTCACCGCGGGCGCATAATCAGAATCAAAATGGCGGCCAGGGCGCAGAAAAGCGTGAGCAAGGGCTTTTATAAGGATTTGAGCAATGTGAGCACTGCAGATTATCTAAATGATCGAACATCAGCAAGTAAAGGGCCATTTTATGAAATAGAAAGAGTATTGAGTCAGCGGACGATGAGAGGAAAGGTTGATTTTTCTCTGTTGGTTCATTCATATGGGATAATTTCATTGTATCTGTTTGTCGCGTTGCTGGCATTGCTGGATATCGAACTTAAGCTCTTTTTAGCAACAGTTCTCCCTTTCAGAACGAGTATCTTTTCCGATGGAAAGGCTACAGTGCGCTTACAGATTCGTGGGAGATAGAGGAAAACTTATATTTGTTACCTTTAAACACAGACCACAAGTTTGGAGAGCTTATTGTCAGACTGTAAACCTGAGATACAAAACTAGGATTTAAGAACAAATGTTTCTTGCCAACAGCTCAAAATTCAATTTGGCCCATATTCTCAGGTTAGGTAGACCTCAGTGTGAAACAAATTGCTCCATAGTTCGTTTGGCTAAATATCGATTAGTTTTCGAGAAAATCAATAATAACCGAATCCTGAGAATTTGCCACGGTTTGAGCTTACAATTTCGGTCGAAAAAGAATGCTTTACGTAACGAAATAACACATTCTAGAGAAATAAAATCTACTAAATCTTGTAGAATGATGCCAAAATATGTGTTAAAAGCAAATTGAGCAATTATTTTCTATTTACTTTGAAAATATAATTACATTTCGCGAACCCTCTTTTATCAGGATGAAAACTAGCCAAGAAATAACCTTTAATCTAAGTATGTGGTACTGAATGAAATACGTTGAAAAATCTGGATTTCGAAAGCCGAATAATGACTCTTTTACATATCCAAAGGATTTTTTGGGGAAATGATTTAGCAGGAAGAAATTCAATTTTAAAGTTGGATGCAATGCCCTGTTTTAACCGACCTTCCAATTTATGTATTAAACACACAGAAATACAAGTTTTCCAAAGGTAGCATTCACTCAAAAGCGGGATTGACGTAATAATTTAACCAACATGTTTTGAAATCAAAGACATAGATTGTATTTCTGTCGTCCCTTCGTTTGATACAAAATTCAATCAAACTACAAGATAATGTGTCAAGATAACGCAGCTGTCATGTTTGTTTACACTCGAGCGTGAAGACTAGACGTGAGATGTTTGTTGGGAAGTTTTCCTAACCAATTATCTCTGAATTTAAGATCAGAGATCAGATTTAAAAAGTTATTTCCGTTTGCCTTTCCTCCAAAATCAGTTTCGAACTAATAAGCGAACCAAAGGCAAACAATTTAACAAGCTGTTTGTCTCAAACTGATACATTAAAAACATGCCTTAAATCCGTGACAATGTCGCACAAGAATCAAATCTTTTAACCATGAAATTAAAGGGTCTTTTTACCTTCTTTAGCAGCATATGAAGACTTCCACATTTTCATAGTATAATAACAACTTACATTTTCCTTGCGAACGTAGCCAAAACGGAGCTGGGCGTTCTCAGCAAGTTAGATTCGCAGAACATGTATTTATGGCAACTCAACGGTTGCGTGACCAATTTTTATTTCCGGAATTGACAGCGGAAGTTCATGTGCACGGACTTTTTGTGACTGGAAAATCATGAACCCTTAATACTGTGTTTTCACTTGACGTCATGGCGGCCATATTGGTGCCCCAAAACAATGAAACGGCAGCCATGATGGTGTCCCAAACCAATCCTGTGGGAGTTTAACTGTCTTCTTATGCAAATGCTTTCTTTTGTTCCAATAAATTTGCATAGATGCTGGTCACGTGAGTGAAAACACTCTATATAATGCTGCTGGTGAACATTTCAAACTAACGAGTCTTTTTAGTTTCAATATCAATTTTTACATTTTATACTCTCAGCTACATTCTAGGGCGATAAACCACATAAACCATCTTCAAGAAGGTCTAGCCTCTGAATAAATTTCAAAACTGTCAAAGATGAAACACAACGAGTTTTTACACGTCTACTAAGGCTTTACCCCAAATCGAACTAGAAAATGTAAGTGATTAAATGCAGTTGCCATGACGACTTCATTGCCTTGTACAAGAGAGACGGTGCCACATCTCAAGTTCGGAAAAACTAACTCTTGGCTTTGACCATCACCTAGTTTTTTTTTTAATAATTTAGCCCGGTAATGGTCTCCAGCTATTAAAAGGGTAAGATCATTATTGTGTCAGTGGGTTAAACAGGACCACCCGGACACGACTGGTCAGGGATAATGAATTCCTTGATAAACTATTTTTAACAAAGACTATGCACATTTTCCAAAAACTATTGTTAAAGACATCCACGAGGAATGATAGATGATAAAGTAAAGTAAACTTTAAAAAAAAATTTGAAAAAAGAAATCCAAATTACTTGGCCACATGATCGATTACGCCCCCTAACCTCCAGCGTTTGAAAATTCTAACTAACGATTCCCACCACTTTCTAAACGTGTAGCTCCGGTTTTTCTATATCAAAGCATTGACCCTACAAAGTGTATGTGAAATCAGCTCGGAATGGCTCGCGAATCATTACAATTTAATATCACTGAGCGTTGTAAATTGTAAATTGTAATTTGTTTACCCACGGATCACTGGATTTCATAAGAACTCATTCAAATGTGTCCGTATCGAATTGGAATTTGAAAGTGTTGGTTTTTAAGGAGAGGGGAAAACCGGAGTACCCGGAGAAAAACCTCTCTGAGCAAGGGAGAGAACCAACAACAAACTCAACCCACATATGGCGTTGACGCCAGGATTCGAACCCGGACCACATTGGTGGGAGGCGAGTGCTCTCACCACTGCGCCACCCTTGCTCCCCAAGGGTGGTGCAAGAGCGTTACAGCAGGAATACCAATATTTTCCAGCTTTGTAGATTGATCTTTCAAGATTTACCAGGGGCAACAATAATGTCCAGTAGTTCCACGCACTGTGTCGCAAACAAGCAGCAAAGCTTGATAGATAAGGGATTTGCTAAATCCCGTCAGCAAATTTATGAACTCATCAGTCTTCACTATAAAATTTGCAGGATAGCTTCTCTCTGTTACTTGTTTAACTCTGTATTAATTACAAATTTCTCCCACACTCGATCAAAAGCCTCACTGATCGTGTGAATCTTAAGAAGCGGCCCAGATTACGTTTTACAAAAATCCGTAAATGGCCTGTGATTAGTGAACGTAAATGTCGGCTGTGTTTAGCAGACGTCTGTGGGGGAGAAATGAATGCATGACAGACGAACCCCAAAGGACGTCTGCGGGGAGGCTAGACTGACCTACGATCTCACAGATGTTGTATGTTTCGTACATGATAGGATGCTGAAGAGCTAATGCTTTCGTTACTTTGTTGGACATTTCTTCGATTGCCTTCTCTGTTATCAGCTCTTCCTTTCAGGTTCTTCCTCCTCACCGGATTGTTCCACACTATACGTTTTCTTTGCTGACAAGCGAGAAAAAAATCCTGCTATTTGAAGTGGTGTGAGATAGTCGCATTTGTCGAAGATATTACAGCCATCACTATGCTTTACTCTTCGAATTGCCTTTGAGACGCTCGTTGGATCTGCTTTTTGCCCAGTGCATTATCCAACTTGAAAGGCTTCAGTCAGATAGTTTTTCTGTCCCACCGTGAGATTCTTTCCTTGTACTCCTGCTGACTTAAGAACCCATCCCATCAGTAGCACTCAGGCAGCACCCTCCGGTGAAATAGACGCACCATCAACTATTTCTGGTAGGACGCCAGGACCACGCTCCAGTTTGGTGGTGTACATGGTCATTGCCTTGTCGTACAGTGTTTCCTGTTCCAGGGCATACTTGTGTTTACCACAGTCCAGATGTTTTTCTACCGATGAGTACTGTACAAAGGACTTGACACATCCCTCCTCTGGACAGAAAAACAGATCGCTTCCTTCGTCGTTACAGCTTTCATCGTCATCGCTGTTATTTCTGTTCTTTGGAGCCTCTTCTAAAACCGGATTTTGGCTTTGGCAGTTTGGAAAGATACTTGAGCACTAGAACTCTGTTTCTGTTTGTTTAGCTGAGGAAGACTCCCAACTTGTTGGTGGAAGTTGCTCCAGGGTACAAATTTGCCAGAGCCAATTCCATAAGCTCTCCAAACTTGCAAACCGTCCTTGATGTATGCAATGTTGTTAATGAAACTAACTCCCTCCCAATTTACTGGAGTGGACTTTGCAGCAGGTTGTGGCCTGCTCACCGTCACGCGGATACCAGAAATTCCGCCAGATGACTCAATGGCCGTCATCATTTGTGAGGCTGTCTCTATGTCGTGGCCTGAATTGGGATGTGTACGCATGTGACTTTTAATTGTCGTGGCCTTACGATCACAAGATCCTTTTCCACCTTCGGGGTCGGAAAAGTCAAAACGCTTTAGTTCAATTGCATGCTCGCGGGCAACATGGTAGACTGAAAGTAATGAAAACGTGCAATGATAGCATCCTGCGTTATCGCTCCTTATATAAACAGAGTTGACTTCTGGCATGATTTCCTTAAGTTGACAAAAGACGTCATCAATAATGGCGAGTAACACGCATCGCAAGTCTCTGTGTTTACAATCGTTTCACTACAGCTGTTACAAAGTGAAGATTTTTACTTTTAGACTGCAAACAAATTCTCCCTGTTTGTCAAAACAAACAAAAACTGACACCTGTTTTTAAATTAGTACCGACATTCTTAATGAAATTTAAAATGGAGGCAGTGAATACGCACAACAAAAACCAATGCCCGAAGCATGCAAAACAAACAATGCCATCGTGCTGCTATCATGTCGTGGGAAATGATTCTGAACGACTGGTTCACGAACCAAACGACACCGGCCTGCAGAAATACAGTTTTCTTCATCATTGATTTGAAGACAAAAAGGTTCGTTGCTATACGTTAAAATAGACCTCGACTTAATGTATTCTGCTTAACTTTTTAGGTGGTTCTGTCAAGTGTAATGTACGTTGCAGTGTCATGTCACGCGTGGGACAAGTTAAAACACCGAAATTTATCCAACTTTTTTAAAATCTATTTCATCGCTCTGAATCATTTCCCCAAAAAATCCTTTGGGACTCTAAAAGAATAACTCTTTGACTTTTAAACACTAGGTTTTCAACGAATTATACGCAGTACCACAAGCTTAAATAAAAGGGTACATTTAGATAGGTTTTCCTCTCGATAGAAATAGGTCGGGCAAATTAAATTAGATTTCAAAAGTAAATAGCCAAGAATTGATAAAAATTGCTTTAACGGTATTTTTTGACATCAGTCAACAAAAGATGGTAGATTTTATTGCTCCAGAGTGTTTTACTTTCTAACGCGAAGCGTCGTAAATCACCCTAAATTTCACATTGAAAAGGCGGCGTTTTCACAAAATTCAGAGATTATTGATGTTCTCAAAAACTAATCAATATTTAATGGAATGAACTATGCAATGTTTTGTCTTGTGTTAAAGTCTATTTAACACGTGATTATGGGTCAAATTGATTTTTGAGCTGTTGCCACGAAATTTTGAAAAAGTTTGATGTTTGGTAACATTTGCTCTTAACAATATAACTCCCAACATCCAAACCCAAACTGAAAGGTGGACGGTGTGGTCAAATGAAAGTAAATAAAAATACACTTCAACAACAAAAATAGTAGTGAACAAAATGAAAGAAATGTCAATAAAACGCTAATAGATGAATTTTAGAAGCCATAGAATTGACCACACTGCGTTTTTGTGAGGGAGACATCTCTAAATAAACTAAGTATGCATCGCTGCTCCAATCGCCTTGAAGCTTGATAAGCTCTGCAGGAACATTACATGCAAAGGGAATCGAAGCGCTGCCACAGTGAAAAGTATGTGGGGAATAAGCATGTGTCTAAACCTAATGCCGTGACGACCTTGGCTAAAAATTTGGAAAAATGATAAGTAATATGTTGGGTTGATTGAGTAGATGGTGATCTGACTGAAAAAAGACAATCTGATGGCCCAACCAATTTGAGACAAAGATGATTAATAAGAGCTGTTAACGGACAAAGGGGTGAACCCAGTATAATAGCGACAGGAATAGAAAGGGCCCATTGAAAAAATGCCCCATTGGGAGAAACATGTAAGTCTAAACGACGAGGAACCTTAAGGGAAGTCATGCTAGGGGTTTTGAACTACTAAATTGGACTTACACAGAAACGAAAAATGCAACGAAGAATAAAGCATGCATAGCAGCATGAAGAGGGCGGGGCTACTATTGTCAAACAATGGAGCCATACGTAAAAGTAGAGATGGATTTATCGGAAGTTTACGTGCTGGGATCATCCCAAGGAACCTCTTACACCTGTGTAGCCCAAGCTGGAAGACATATGAATTATCCCACCAGGGGGGGTGACCAAACAAACGATGAAAGTGTTTTACACTGGAAATATGGTTTTTTATAGTACCGTAGGACCGACCCGTGGTGGCAAGAAAGGCAATAGTAGTGGTTACACACACCTTGGGTTTGGGGTCTTCCAGAGGGTAAATGGCTTGGGTTTGGTTTAGCTCAGGTTTCACTTTACCCTTGGGGATGCGGTTACACAGTAAAAGACTCCCCTCAGGGTAAAATATAATTAGATATGAACTAACTGACCTTGTGAATTGGCGGGAAAAGTGGAGATCAACATGGATGACATGAATCGAGGTCTAGTAAGCTTAATTTCAGTGATTCTCCTGCTTATTATTCGACAGTCTTCCATAAACATAACAGTCCAGCAGTTTTTTGCGAGAAGACACCGAAGAAGGCAGTTTCGATTACGCTACCTGCAAGGTTTGTCGGCATTGTATTTAAATTTACGAGCTCGTCGCCAATTTGCTCGCCGGCCTAGAAGAGCTTGGGTATTTCCACGACCACAGAACTGGTTTCAGGAACTTCTAAATAACAATGCACTGGATCACTGGTGGAAAGAAAACTTTAGAGTTTCGCGCGATACCTTTGAATATATATGCCAGCTCGTTGGACCGGCGCTCCAGCGGCAAAACACTAGGATGCGAGATGCCATTCCAGTTCCAAAGCGCGTCGGTGCAAGCCTCTGGCGACTAGCTACTGGAGAGTGCTACCGCTCGTGTGGACTGATGGTTGGGTTGGCAAAACCGACTGTTGTAAAGTGTTGCCATGAATTTGTTCAAGAAATATGCCGACTTCAAGATGAGTTTATCAAGTTTCCTTCTACTGCAGCAGAGATAGCTACAAAAATTAAAGGCTTCGACAATAAAAGTAAATTACCTAATGTAGTTGGAGCAATAGATGGAAGCCATGTACCTATTAAGGCCCCGAAAATTAACCATGAAGACTACTTTAAACGGAAACATTTCTACAGTTTTTTAGTACAGGGAATAGTTGATGCCTCTGGCCTCTATTTATCCGTGGCCACTGGTTTTCCTGGAAGTCTACATGATGCTCGGATGCTGCGTTTAACTGACGTTTATTGGGCTGCTGAAGATGAGAATATCCTAATGGAACCTACATTTGACTTAGGCGGAACTGTAGTGCGCCCACTTATCGTGGGAGACACTGCTTATCCAAACAAAACCTGGCTCATCCGACCATTTAAGGATAACGGTGGGCTTACGCGCGACCAGAGGAATTTCAACCGAGAGGTATGCAAGGCGACAATAGTATCCAAACATGCATTTGGTATGACCAAAGGAAGGTGGAGGGTATTACTTAAGCGCCTAGACAAAGACAGTGACAGAATACCTGACAATATCATCGCCTGCTGCGTGCTACATAACATTTGTGTTTTTTAACGAGGAGATGAACTCGACATAGATGATAGTGATGATGATGATAGCGATGATGATGATTACGACGGCGGCCCCCCCTCCCAGGCTGCAGCTGCGGTTCTACAAGCCCTTGTTCAATACGTTGCAAATCAATAGACATATATCCCCTTGATTTTGTCCTCTTTGCGTCCTAAATTATAGAAGGTTACGAAATAATTATATTTTGCTTTGCAATTTATTTAAGCAATCATATATGTGATACCATTGATCCAAACCTGAAAGTAACAGCAGATTGAATAAATATGTATATATATATAGTAATATAAAATCAATCAAAAATGGTGTAGAATTTTACACGGGATAATTACAGGAAATATAAAAATTCTGTTTGCTAAACAACTGTAACATCTATTATACTTAAGAAACAGCGGTTGTAACCATTTTACAGCACTGTGTATTTTAGTGTCCAAAATACTATTCAAGATCAATTAAAATTTCTTTTTGCAGTTTTGCAACAATCATGTAAACAGTTCCTTTTTTCTTTGGAATAAAAGCGTTGAGTTAAACCTATTTTTTGGAAGCAAATATGTCTCCGAGTTTTCCTAACACAGACACAACAAATTCTTGGTGTTGTTGCTGCGCTTCTGCCTGAGATTTGAGGAGAGCTTCAAAAACTCTCTCGTCATTCTCTTCGGATCTTTGGATGGCTTCTTGCTGTGACTTCATCATGTCAAGGATTGCTAGCTCCATGTCATCGCCGCTAAGCCTTTTCTTCTTCTTTTTTGGTCCTTTTTCATCCTTTTGCCCAGTTTTTCAGTTTTCTCTGCATCCGCACTATCTCCTCCAGCAGAGCTGGGCGGCCGTTTCTCTGTTTTCTTACTGCAATCTTGATTTCCCGTCGATAAAATAACGTCGGTATCATGGGCTTTCGTTTCCTTGACAAATCTTGCATTCACTTTGTCTGATGAAGCCATAAATTCGTCGATGTCTTCATAGTGCTTGAACGTTTTCCGTTCCCTTCCCGTGCGATTGTTGTTATCACATACGCTTTTGTATTTATCCAAGAGCACCCGCCACTTCTCCTTTAACTGCGCAAATGACTTTTCAGATTCCACGCCATTGTCAAAGCACATACTTTGAAACTGCTTCAAAATATCTTCCCATATGTTTTTTTTGGCTTGACTGCTTTTTGTAGACTTAAGTCTATCGTAGTACTCCTTAAAAGCGGCAATTAAGCATCTCTCTGCGGTCAACGACCAGCTACCGCGCTTGTTACAATCGTCGCTTCGGTTCGAGGATTCACTTGGAGTTGGACTAGCGCTGTCCCTGTCTAGTTCAAACTGAAGGTGATTGCTAGTTCCGGGTACAGGGTTCTGGTAAATCGGGTAGGGATTTAACATCGTTGGATAATGCAGTGGAGGCTGATTTTGAGCCATGCTAACACCATTCAGGGTATTACCGCTGTTGTTGATTCCCTGCGGCCTTGTTTGATTTCGTGCCGCAAATAAATATCCGTTGTAATAGGGATCTTCATTTTGACTAGCGTTCCTATAAACAGATAAACAGAAAGATTATAATTTAATCAACTTCGTAACTGGCAGTCTGAAGGGCAAACTCATGAAAATAAATAAAGAAAGAAATACTCACAGTGATGCACGAAACCCTGCCATGTTACCTCGTGCTAGAAGTAGGCGCGAAATTAGCCAAGTGCTTCAGAGGTCATCTCAGAGCGCCTCACGCGATTTCCTGTATTAGCTGCGTTCTGCTTTATGATTGGCCAAGCCACCTCAGGGAGCAGATAAACCGTACTTTTCAGTTCAGGAACTGTCATGGGAAGTTCTTTTGTTCTTTTTGATGTATCCATGGAAATAACCCTAGGGCAGTTTCGGTCTGGGAAAAGCGGTTACACACAAAAAAGTCTTTTCCCGTGGGCAAACGCTATTTACCCATGGGTAAAAGGGCTAGTATAACCACGACTAATGTAACAAAACATTGTTGTTCCTTTGACTGGAAACTGCGTAACACCCAGATCATCGCGGAACTGTGTAAAAATTTGAAGATGGGAACGCATATTCTTTTGAGAGGATGTTTCATGAGCTAAACTAATAAGCGTATGGAAAAAATTGTTCAGAAACTGGAGCCCTTGTGAACTTCCCGGTGTGAATTCATGGGGCCAATCGATCTCTCACTTTTTTCTGGACGTGGACTTTTCCTGGAAGATTCTGGGCTGGGTGATCATCTGAAGCAGAACCAGGAGCATGGCGCAGCCAAAGTACTTCTAATTCCAGGGTGAGTTTTTCCTTCTGCAACTGCGCCAAATGAATCTCCTGACTGAGATCTCGCTCAGTAGCAGCTGGCCATGGAGAAGTTTGTGGATCTGACCTGTCAGGCAAAGGAAGTCCCTCGTACAAAGGAGGACTTGTCACGATGGTCGGTTGCTATAGCCTGCGAAAACATCTGTTTCTCCTCGCTCTTCGCTGCGAGGGACATATCGCACGGAGGAATGTCTGCGACTCAGCGACAGAAATTCCATACTGATGACACAGAATCTGTCCGGAATCTGGTCAGAAGGGCTGACTGGTCGACGAAGAAGTTACATTGTTTTAGCAACTGTTTACAAATGACAGACAAAAGGCCACAGAGGTCAAATGTAAACGCGAAGAATCTCTAACAAAACAGTCAATATTTGTGAATATAGTCTTCTCTAGAAGAAGCATTTGAGTTTTGCTGGTGCTCGTTGGCAGATAAGCACAACACTACCAAAATCGACCAGAAGACACGTTAAATTAGACAAATTTATATTTGGAACCCCATGACTACCGGAAAATTAGAGAAAAATTTTCTTTAAATTGTTACCATTGTAAAGGTATTTTTGATGTTTCTTGAAAGCATGACGTCATAAATGACGCCTATTTTTAGTAACAACATTAAAAACTTGCAAAGGAGTGTTCAAAACATTACAGACGTTTTTGCTACACAAAAAGAATATGTATAGTGAAAACCCCATCTCAATAGGATAAAATGACGTAAAGTTACAGCTAATAAAAGAAATCAAATTTCCCCCACATGACCATATATGGTCAAAATTGGGGGGATTTTAAACGTGAGAACAATGAATGTATTGTCACAGGAGCAAGGAAAAAGTTGCATAAAATCAAAATTGTAGTTTTTTTCTACTTACTTTTGTTTACTTATGTGCTGCTATGATGCGTTTTCGTCACGAAATACGTCACTGTGACGTCAAAATGACGTATTTCGTGACGAAAAACGTGTCGTAGAACAAAAGACAACTTTGATTTTATGTAACTTTGTTCTTGCTCCTGTTCCAGTACATTCAATGTTCTCGCATTTAAAATAACCCCAATTTTGACCATATATGGTCATTTGGGGGAAATTTAAATTTCTTTAATTAGCTGTAACTTTAGTCCTTTTTATTCGATTGAGATGGGGTTTGTACTAGAAATCATAGAATTCTATACAGAAAACTGATGTAACATTTTTACCATTTCTTTCCTGAATTTTTGTTCTCATGCCAAATTTGGACATCATCTATGACGTCACAACAGAAGTCATGGGATGAAAGAAAAGCTAACAAACAGGTAAACTACTTCCCTGCCAAGTTTCGTCACATTCGATGCATTCTACTTCTGTCTATGGCCTAAAACTCTCAGTTTTGAGAGGTATTTGGGGTGTAAGCAACTCTGCTTGCTCATCACGCAATTGAAGATCGTACAGTTGGCGCTGGAGATCTGCTTCGTATGGACGGCCTGAGTCGGTTTTTAGCGATTTTTGTAGAACGCTTTGACTGCTTGTTTGATTGCTTGGTGGCTGGCTGGACCATGGAACTGAAATGGTGACCACCACAATCGTCTTGCCTGGAAGGATCTGTAAATGGAGACTGATGATGCAAAAACAGACCGCGTTGGTCAAGGAAATATGTATCGGTATAAAGAAAATCCGGATCCTTTTGGGTTTGGTTTGGCGAGTTGAACGCTGAGGTTGCTGGTTCAGTAGAGCGTCTGCTTGATCCATGATTTGTAAGAGAGCTGGGTCGAGGTTAGAAAAATGATACACAGGGTTGACTACAGTTCAACTAAAATACACTGACCAACGCTTGACGAACACAACGCTCTCATAAAAATGCTTGCCTCATTATCACAATTAATCCTCCTCACTGAGGTGACGATTGACACATTGAAAACGCCTTAAGAGGTTTTAGATATTCCAAGCCATCTCCAGAGAGAATTAGAGAAGCCTCTGACACGCAAGCTTTAGGAATTCTTCAACATCTTCAAAGCAAGCACCAGACTGGCTCTGCAACCACAGTGATAATATCTTTAAAGGCAAGGAAAAACCTAGGGATAAGGCAGGTTGGATCTTGCTAGACAATGAAGACTTTCGTAGGTGCAAGATTTTAAAGAATGCGATGACTGGGGTCAGTATATTGACAGCCTTGGTGGATTTTGTTCCCTGTGAGAGTAAAACCATTCCTGACCTGGGGTCCAAAAACACAAACTTGTAAATGGAAAGATTGTCTCCAAGCCTAGGTATGATCTTCAAAAAGTGAGTTAAAACTTTAATACGATGCCAGTTACCATTGTGTAATGGATATTTTTTTCAATTGCAGTTTTCATTTCACATTTTCATGTACCTAGGCTGAAGTAAAATGTTGTCAGATATTCCTGTGTGTATTTTTTAACTAAGAAAGAGGAAGAAAATGTTTGATATACTTATTCTTAACAATTGCTCATGCAATAAACCAATTATGTTGCATTGCCTGTGATATATACGTTGTCTATATATTTCTTATGTACATTATAGCTATCCTAGTTTTTTTCCCCTTCCCTTCCCTTTCCCTCTTACCCTGCCTCCCCTCTGCTTTTGCCTTTTATTTGCTTGGTTACTGTCACATGCTTGAGATTGTTCTCCAGAATTTTCGGTTCTAATGACAGACACATTTTCTTCGGCCCGTCCGTAGAGCACAAATTTCCTGCATCCAGTATTGATCATTATGTTTATTATACTTTCTGCTTGTTCTTTCTCTGTCTTTCAAAAGCCATTGGCAGGTTTCAATTCTGAGATTGTCTCCTGCTGAATCATAGTGATTTAACATGCGATTGACTACATTCCGCACAGTGTCATTGTTTTTTCGACTCCCTGACCAGTAGATATTTTCAAACATTTATATGTATAAGGAAAAAGGGTACATGGGCGAAAAGAACATGCATGTATGGAGTTATTCGTTTCTTTTCATACCCACTTCTCTTATCTCTGAGAGAAAGAAAAGTTTGTAGCCAGTCTCTTGTTTTGTTCCAAAAAGTATCAGCTGATTTATCATGTGACCAGGTATTTATCTCTTCATAGATACTTTTAAAATAAACCCAAACTTAAGTTACTTCGTTGCAAGTATTTTGACACAGGACTGTTGGAAGCTTTTCTAGCAAGGATAAAACTTTTTTTCTTGTCATTTCCTAAAAGGCTTGTAAACTCATATTTTCCAGCTCCCTTATTGTCTGCAGGATTTCATATTTCCCAAACATCAAATCCTCATGTGCAAAGTCGTGCACCTTTGATCCCCTACCATCGTCAATTCTGTCCTTCTGTTTGGATGAACTGCTCCCTGTTATTAGGAAAATTGTCAACTTGTCTCTTGAGTCTGGCGTCTTTGCAGAGGACTGGAAGAATGCTTTAGTTCACCCCTTGCTTAAGAAAGCAGGACTCAAACCTATTAACAAAAATTTTCGACTGGTGAGCAACTTGCAGGTTACATCAAAGATTACGGAAAAGTCCGCGGCTATCCAATTACAAGATCATATGACAGCCAACAACTTATTTCCTGTCTTCCAAAGCGCATATCGGCAGAATCACAACACTGAGACGGCGTTATTAAAAGTTAAAAACGATCTTCTGCTAAATATGGACAAAGGTCATGTCACATTGCTTGTTATGTTAGATCTCAGCACTGCGTTTGATACCGTAGATCACGGTATTCTTCTGCACAGGCTGCAGTCCAAGCTCGGCCTTCGGGATAAAGCTTTATTATGGTTTAAATCTTATTTGGCGGGAAGAACGCAGCAGGTCTCAGTTAACGGATCGCTCTCTGATAAATTTAATCTGACTTGTGGGGTCCCAC